ACAGGTCAGATTTTGATGCGAGACGAGACTTCTAGGGTATTAAGATATTCTTTGATCATACTCCAATATTTTGTCCGCATTCTTGAAACTCCTTTCATAGACACAGATCCAGTAGACACACTCTACGTAGAAACTATTGATTTTTGTAGTTGTGAAGTCAGAAGTACCAATCCGATCTTGATAATATCAATGACATCCGCGTATTGAAAAAATGTGCGCATTTTTTTCACTTTTTCTAAAATGTCGGTAAGGGAAAATTATAACACAAAAGACTGTTTTAGAATTTTCTTATTAGCACAACACTTTGATTAGCGCGTAAAAAAATATAAAAAAATCGAAAATACCGTAGCTATATGCTCATAAATATAAAATTTTACAACGTAAAAAATCCAAATTAAACATAATTCTAATCGCAAATTAAAAAAAAATGTATGTATGCAAAAACTCTTACCCAAACAGTTGTGTACACTTGCCATACAAATACAACATTCCTATAGTTAAAAGTTTACTACACATGATCAATCGATTTTCAAATCATAAACTTGCTTTAAAATTTCAGTTTTACCCTATTATAAAGATATCAGAATCATAAAAAGATATGTTGATTTTAAAAGGAAAATCTACTGATCACATTCTAATTTTCCCAGAGAGCAATTTTTTAAGACAATACCTACAAAAAAGTTACAAATATCACAGAACAGTTGCCAAACTTCTTAAAAAGTATCATTGAAATGTTTTTACAATAACTTTGATGTAAACAAATATACGTTTTAAGTTCCTTTAGTTTTTTTTTGTAGATATTGAAAATTTATGGAAATAATTAACAAATAATATTAAACAAAGATATTAGTATTTAAATATGACTACAGCTATTATTCTAAAAAATGTTATTGCTTAATAACATAATAATTAGGCTTTCTAAATATATTTAAAATGATTAAATAATATAAAGAAAAACAATATATATTTCCTTATATTAAAAATTAATAGAAGAAAATACAAAATATTGTTAAAGTTAAAGTAAAAGCGACAAAAAAAATAACGTAGTACTAAACAATTTAAGTAATTATTATATTTTCTGTTGGTACCAGTCATTTCTACCTTTTTCTTCACTAATAAAGCAAATGAGAACGAGACAGTTATTGTGAAAATTTTTAAAAAAATAAAGGTTTACGACTAATAAACTAATTACCCAATTATAAGTAAATAATTTAAGATAAAAAAAATAATAAATATAATGAAAAATGCTTTTTAAAAAAAGTAAATTCAAAAAAATATTTAAACTTCTAAATATATTGAAACTAAACTGTAATATTTCTATTACAATCCAATGCAGTTTTAATTTAAGTAAATTTATCTATCAGGTGTTCCTTTTTTACTTTGAAAATTGATATTTATAACAATAAAACTTGCAAAAGTAATAAAAACTGGCATTCTGTTCTTCTTCAAATATTTCAAACACGTTTTTTAATACAATTCTTATTGATTAAATACTTAAAACTAGAAATCAATGATTAAAATATGTTCTCTATAATGTATTTATAAATATTGTTTATAAATAAGTTATAATAAAATCATCTTAATAAAAAATGTTTAAAGTCTGTACAACCATTGGTGAACCTCACGTCATATATTGTCGCACTCTTTTTTTTCAGGTAAAAACGAGATGAAATAGATTGTAGGCGTCGCGCGTTGTTAAGGCATTTCTTAAATACTTGTACAGGGTGTCCCACTAAGAATAGCTCTCGGCTGTATCTCGGAAAGTATTAGTCGTACAGCTTGCGGAAAAAGCAAAGCATGAGAGCATGAGAAATTGCTGAAAATTATTTTCAAGTTTGTAGAGCGGCCGCTAGAGGGCGCAACTGCTATTCAAAATAAGAAAAGGGAGTTTTTACACAATTTTGCCTAGATAACGGATACTATAAATAATAGATTCGTAATCTTCAGTAATTTTTGCATATTTTTTGTTAGAACCATTTTCCCGTATCTGCTAAAATAAAGTGGTGGGGGAAGGTTAGATCTGTTTTTATTTAAATGTTTATAACTCTGGACTGGTTGATCGGAATCCAACAAGTGAGGGCTCGTTTAAAAGAGCGAGTCTTACTCTATATTATACCATATAAACAATAAAAATAATCTTTTGAACGTAGACGCTAGGGGGCGCTGTCTTACAATTTAACAAACATTACGCGTTTTTTCGAAAAAGTTAAATGCGATAGTATATGTAATTTTAGCTGATACTAAAGAGTAATAAAAGTTTAAAAATTCAGCAAAAACCGCATCTTGATATCTTTTTTCAAACCAAAGTTATTAGCAAAATTATAATAAACACGAAAAAATAAGTCCTTATTACCTTATCATTCTAACACGGTATCCCTAGCCCTCATGATTATGGCCATTCTAATAAAAAATAAGATAGAAAAGATTATTTCATTCAAAAAATCAACAATGTACCAGAATACCATAATACTAGGTGTATTAATATCTAATAATTAAGATATCAATGAAGAAACGACGCCTCAGTGAATTTATTTTATCATTGAATTTTAAAGAGATAGTTTAAACTCAAAATAGTATTATATCAACAATTTGATAGTCTCAGCAGCGATTTTTATCTTTTGATTGCCTTTCTAAAAATTCAAGAGAAAAAAACGCTGCTAAGACTATCAAAATGTTGATTTAGTAACTCTTCGACGTTTATACTATTACGTCAAAAGCATCTTTTTCCCAAAGCTTACCATGACTTCACTAAGGCGTCGTTTCTTATTCACTGTCATTGATATCTTAATTATTAGATATTAATACACCTTATATTATATATACCGGTATTATTGTATTCTGGTATATTGTCGATTTTAGAATAAACTAATCGTTTCTATCTTATTTTTTATTAGAATGGTCATAATCAAGAGGACTACTGTAACCGTGTAGTGTAAATGAATCGAAACATGCCTGTGATAAATTAAAAAACGGAAAAGCCCCTGGACCTGGAAACGTGCCGGTCGAAATACTTAAGCAATTAATAGACAAAAAACCAGAGTATATTTTGAAGGTTTATAATCGCCTAGCAAGAGACTTGCTCTTTCCTCCCGAGTGGAAGAAAGCCGCACTGGTACTGATTCCTAAAAACTCTAACTCAGAAGATGGATCAGCGGCATACCGACCGATATGTCTTTTAGATATAGAAGGAAAACTATATGAACACCTTATTCTTATTAGACTAAATGAAGAGCTCGATCGAATAGGAACTCTTTCAGCGCGCCAATATGGTTTTCGAAAAGGTAGACAAACAATACATGCGATCGAACATGTACTTCTTATTGCCAGACAAGCAACAGATTATGCACCAAATAATAGAAAAGTATGCGCAGTAATTACTCTAGATGTGCAAAATGCGTTCAACAGTGCTTCGTGGCAGATCATTCTGGACGAAATGCAAAAATGGGGTATAAGTTCGTCTCTGACTAACATGGTGGCATCTTATCTCTCTGAAAGGACAATTTTAATTAAAGACGATACTGCTAAAAGGCAGATTAAGGTAACCAGTGGAGTGCCACAGGGGTCAGTACTTGGCCCAACACTATGGAATATCCAGCACAACGACCTACTGGAAACGGCAATGCCCGAAGGAGTAACACTAATCGGCTTTGCCGATGACGTAGCGATGGTGGTAACGGCCAAAAACGAAAAGACACTCATGAGTGTTGCTAATGCAGGGCTACAAAGAGTGGCCAACTGGATCGAGCGCAAAGGTCTAAAACTAGCACTGAACAAAACTGAAGCGGTTTTATTAACCACCAAGAGGAAACTCTCTCATATATCATTTGAGCTTCTCGGTACAACAATTTCACCAAAGAATGCAATAAGATATCTTGGAGTTTGGCCTGATTCAAAGCTTACATTCGGCGAGCATATAAATCAAGTTATACGAAAGGCGGAACGAACTTTGACCGCACTGGGTAGGCTGATGCCTAATATAGGAGGGCCACTTGCTTCCAAACGTAGAATCCTAGCCTGTGTAGCACACTCTCAACTGTTATATGCCGCACCAGTGTGGCACTTCGCAATATCAAAGGGATATATAAGGCAAAAACTTAAAGCTATATACCGTAAACTGAACCTCAAGATCTGCAGTGCATATAGAACCGTCTCCGCTGAAGCATTAAATGTCATATCCGGGGTACCGCCTATTCACCTACTTGTAGAGGAGAGAAGAGAGAGATACAAAGGGACATCAAAACTGGAGGCAAGAAGCATACTGATGATTGAATGGCAAAAGGAGTGGGATCTAGATAGATATGGCAGATGGACACTTGATCTCATACCAGACATTAATATCTGGTTAGACAGAAGCTTTGGAGAGACGGACTATTTCCTAACTCAGGCATTGACAGGGCACGGATGCTTTAACAACTATTTGCATAGAAGGGAGAGATCCACCTCAAATTTGTGTATGTATTGCAAGGAAGTTGACAGTGTCGAACACACACTATTCCTCTGCAATGAATGGAAGCAGTTTAGAGAGTCATTCCAACGTGACAGTGGTGGACAGTCTTTAATGCCAAAAATATGATGCAAGGGTTACTAAGTGGTGAAACATCATGGAAAATTACATATAGATGCATTCGAGAAATAATAGAAACCAAAGGAAATAGAATGCGGGGCCTAACCGCATAGACAGCCTTCCAGCTGAAGTAATGCGCAAGCGGTTTCCAGCTGGATAGAGCGATGGAATGCGAGGAGGGTTTTTTTAGTCGGTAGGAATCCGACACTACCCAATGGTGTCTTATGCAAGATTTTTCCCCTCATCCTCAAAAAAAAAACTGTAAAAAACCATGTTAAAAAAAATAAGGTAAGTAAGGGCTTATTTTTTCGTATTAATTATAATTTTGCTAATATCTTCGGTTTGAAAGAGGATATCAAGATGCGGTTTCCGCTGACTTTATAAACTTTAATTACTCTTTACTATCAGCTAAAATTATATATACTATCACATTTAATTTTTTTGAAGAAAACGCGCAATGCTTGTTAAATTATAAGACAGTGCCCCCTAGCGTCTACATTCAACAGCTTTCCAATTTCCAGCAATTTCTCATGCTCTCTTTAGTCATAAATATTTTTTTCCGCAAACCCTACGACTAATACTTTCCGAGATACAGCCGAGAGCTATTCTTAGTGGGACACCCTGTACATATTGTTTCCAGTTAACTGTCATTTCACTTTTGTTGTTATAATCCCGTTGAAGGGTATCGGTCAGTGTTAAAATTAAAAATCGATCGCGCTGTGAAACAAAATTTCAATAACAAGAAAGAATCAAAAGTCAATTCGATCAGATAAATAATGATGACGTAACGCTGAACGATCTTTGTACAGACCATACTAATGTGATATACAATTAGATTTGTTTCTAGTGCATTACCTTTATTGAAAAAAAATAACGACTTTGGTTGATAAAAAAACTTTTTATATTGGTGCTATTTCAGCCACAACTGAGGTAATATAAACACAGCCTTAAAAACTATTTATTTTTTCTTTAGGTTGGTAATGCATTAGAGCCTGTGAAACTCTTAATATTATCCTAAGCATATACCACTAAAATACAGTAGAAAATAAGTTAACACTACCTATTTTTTACTTCGATTAAAATTATTTCTATTTTTCCATGTATCAAAGGCACAAGGTATTTAATCTTAGAGTTAATTATCATTAAAGCAATTAACATCAGATTTTTTTGTATTTTTTATATATTTTTTTCTAACTTTAATACTAAACAATATTTAGCTATTCGTTAGGTGAGCTATTTATTTAAACTATAAAAATAAAATCACAACAAAAACAAAAACGAAAGAATAACTGTAAATTTGAACTTTCTGGATGAAGAGAATTTATGGCAGTATTACATGGAAATTTTATGTAATCTATTAATAAAAAAATAAATATTATTGATTTTAAGTCGATTCACATAATGTCGATTCACTAATTCACAGAGAAATAAAGTTTTTTTTTCTATAATATAATGGAACACTTCTTTTATGGATGGATAACCATATCTCAGTTTTTTAAATAATAGTTCAAATGAACTATCATCATCATTAGTGGTACCAATATCACATTGGGTAAAATACACTGCTTCACACAGTCACAAATAAAGTCATAAATAAAAATATACTCTAAATATGTTGCATCATTACTTTTAAATAAAGAACTTGAGGAGTGAATAAAAAAAGCCCTTCTCTTAAGCCCGCGGATGTATCTGCAAGTGCAAGAAAAGTTACAGAAACTTAACAAATATGCTAGAATGCGCACGCTTTGTAGGCAAAAGTGGCTGCAACTTTACTTGCATGCAAGTAAAATTGCGAACTGTCAAACGGATTTAACTATACAGAAGCGACAGTTTCCGACGACTCATTTGAAATTTGTAGCCCGAATACTTTGACCTTGGAAGTCACATTAAACCATAAAGGAAACAAGTTTAGATTGGAATGCTCGGCTTGCCGCCAAAACTTAACATAATTGTTTTGGAGCGCATACGTTGTAGAGCGCTGCTATAGCGGTTGCTAAGAATAACCGCAAACAAGAACAGAACTAATTTTCTCTTGTCAAAGTCAGAATCTTCAAAAATTATAAAATCTTTTAAAATTTAAACCGCCCTCACTGAAAAAATACCGAAAAGTTTTTAAATCCTCCATTTTCAAGAATGAGAAGGCTGGTTTTTCTGGGTTTGTTTGTCAATCAATGTCATTTATGTGACAGCAATCAAGCAAATATTGGAAGTTTGAGTAAAATTCTCATTTAATTTCTAAAATTTGTTATAATATTTTTTATTTACATCCAAAAGCAACGGAGGTAGGCAGTAAAGGTAAATACATTTCATTAGCTAAAAGAATTACTTTTTAGGACCATTTAAACTTATCATGCAGCCATTGTTTCAGTCAGGAAAATTTAAAGAAAACATGAAAAACAAGACAACAAGTAATCGTGAATGTTTTGTAAGCTATAAAGATATAAATATTGATTAGATTTGTTTATTTATTATTGATCTGTTTTAATATTGGACCTGCAAATCTTCACTTAAGCTGTCTATCGAGTTTAACAGTTTATTAATAAAGTACTTTTCAATATTAAACTCCATTTAAAAGAACAAGCAAACGTAAAAGCAGAGAATATGTACATTAAAAATGCAAAAAAGATAAATTTTATAATAAAGGTATTGAAATTTAGAAAACCGTCAACATTTGACATTTCCAGTATTTTACCAAACCGTTCCGTATCAAACCTATGTTTTTCAGGAATCGTTCTTTGCCGTAGTTTACCGGTATGGTTCGCCTGGTTTTGCAACGGGATACAGCCTTAAGTATACGTTTATTTCTTATGTTAACCATCAACTAAGCAAAATTTGACAACTACCGTCATTGAAATGATAGCATAAATATATGAAAATTAAACTTAAAATTTGGTCTAGGATATAATCGCCCTTTTCGCTTCTGTATAGTTAGGCAACTGTATGACTATATTTTCAAAGATGAAACCAATAAAAATAATACATATTTATCGTATAAATATGATAATTGTTTACCTACCCTCTGTGACATTTTTTTTGGGACCACAATTTATTTAAAATAAGAAAAACCTTTTTAAGTCGCTTAGCAGAATGCGCCTCTGCTGAAAGATTCTGCCACTTTGCATGCTAGATAATCAAAGCCATTTACGTCCAAGACATTTGACATTTCATCCCTTCCTACAACGCGACAGTTGATGCGATCATCTGTATAAAAGATTAGGAACCTAAAAAAAAAAATAAATACTATACATTCCTGTACCAGGTGTCCCATTAAGAATAGCTCTCGGCTGTATCTCGGAAAGTATTGGCAGTAGAACCTGAGGAAAAAAATATTTATAACTAAAGAGGCCATGAGAAATTGCTGGAAATTATTTTCAAGTTTGTAGAGTGGCCGCTAGAGGGCGCAACTGCTACGGCAAATAAGAAAATGCAATTTTTACAAAATTCTGCCTAGATAAGGGCTACTATGAATAATAGCTTCATAATCTTAAGAAAATTTCGGACTTTTTTTGTCAAAACCATTTTTCCCTATCTGCTAAAATAAAGTGGTGGGGGAAGGTTAGATCTGTTTTTATTTAAATGTTAATAACTCCGGACTGGATGACCGGAATCTAACAAGTGAGGGCTCGTTTAAAATAGCGTTTCGTACTCTATATAAAACCATATAAACAATAATAATATGCCTTAAACAGTAAACGCTAGAGGGCGCTGTCTTGCAATTTAACAAACAATGCGGGATTTCCCAAGATAATTAAATACAACGGTACATGTAATTTCAGCCGATTGTAAAGAGGAATAAAAGTTTAAGAAGTCAGTGAAAACCGCATCTTGATATCTTTTTTCAATCCGAAGATATTACCAAAAATATAATAAATACGAAAAAATTTGCCCTTAACTATCTTATTTTTATAACACGGTATCAGTAGCCCTCTAGATTATGCCCATTTTAACAAAAAAATAAGATAGAAACAGTTAGTTTATTTTAATATCAACGAAATACCACAATACCAGATGTATTAATATCTAATAATTAAGATATTAATAACAGTGAACAAGAAACGATGATTCAGTGAAGTCATGGTAGGCTTTGGAAAAAAGTTGCTTTTGACATAATAGTATAAACGTCAAAGTGTTATTAAATCATCATTTTGATAGTCTTCGCAGCGTTTTTATGTTTTAATTGCTTTTTCAAAATGCCTTTATTATTTGAAGTAGTTGAAGTTGTTGGCATTTTGAAAAAGCAATCAAAAGATAAAAGACTATCAAAATGTTGATCTAATAACAATTTGACGTTTATACGATTACGTCAAAAGCAACTTTTTTCCAAAGCCTACCACGACTTCACTGAATCATCGTTTCTTGTTCACTGTTATTAATATTTTAATTATTAGATATGAATATACATCTGGTATTATGGTATTCTGGTATTTCGTCGATTTTAAAATAAACTAACTGCTTTTATCTTATTTTTTTGTTAAAATGGGTATAATCAAGAGGGCTATATAATACCATGTTGTAAAAATAAGGTAATTAAGGGCTTATTTTTTGGTATTTATTACAATTTTGCTAATATCTTCGGTTTGAAAGAAGATATCAAGATGCGGTTTTCGCTGACTTTTTAAGCTTTTACTGCTCTTTACTATCAGCTAAAATTACATATACTATTGTATTTAATTTTTTTGAAAAAACGCGCTATGTTTGTTAAATTGTAAGAAAGCGCCCCTAGCGTCTACGTTCAAAACCTTATTATTATTATTTTTATGGTATAATATAGAGTAAGAAACGCTTTTTTAAACGAGCCCTCGTTTGTTGGATTCTGGTCATCCAGCCTGGAGTTATTAACATTTAAATAATGATAGATCTAACCTTCCCCCACCACTTTATTTTACCAGATAGGGGAAAATGGTTCTAACAAAAAAAATCCAAAATTTACTGAAGATTATGCAGCTATTATTTATAGTACTCATTATCCAGGAAAAATTCCGTAAAAATTCTATTTTCTTATTTTCCATAGCAGTTGCGCCCTCTAGCGACCGTTTTACAAACTTGAAAATAATTTCCAGCAATTTCTCATAGCCCCTTTAGTCATAAATATTTTTTTCCGTAGGCTCTACGGCTAATACTATCCGAGATACAGCCGAGAGCTATCCTTAGTGGGACACCCTGTACATTTAATGCACAATGTTCTATATTTGATACCAATTAAACTTTTAGTTACGCAATGGAGGGCACGATTTTTAAATACATTATTGCCAACCATAGAAACATTCGGCGCCGGAATGACTAACTGGAATTTAAGTTTCCCGCTGGGGATTCAGGTGGTAACTCTGCTGTAAAAAATGTAAAGTTGCCACATTTAGTTCCTGGCATTGTCACTCGTTTTGACACTTTAGTTTTGTATTATTTGTTTTTGGTTTAAATAAATTGTGTTGTGATACTTCAAGCTGAAAAATGTTTACTAGCAGATCTTGCAGTCGAAACTGGTTCTTTTTAGAACCTCTTTTAGTGCGATGTGTACAGGGTGGGTCAAATTCGACGCTTTTAAATGGAAACACCCTTTTCTATAAGAGATAGACGAAAACTAATATCGGTATCTGGAGCTCTATTTTCATCAAAAACATGATGGTGAAAACCGCACATCAATATCTGTTACCGTTTCGAAGTTACGGGGTGTTTTTCAAAAATGTGCATTTTTAACAAATCGTTGTAACTTTTTTGCTATGGAAAATTTTGTATTTCTATGAAAACATTTCCAAAGCACCGTTTTACGTAGAATTTAATGGTTTAAGTATATTTTTTTTAAATTAATAATTTAAGAGTTATCAACAGAAAAATTGATTTTTTATTTGGGACACCCTCTATATTTTTAATTAACTGAAAATAATTTAAAATTACCTTTCCAAAAATATAATCTACTAAAAATATAAGCACACTTAACATTTTGTTATAATCCCCTTCGAAATACAGAATTTTTAAAAGTTCGCCACTTTTAACTTAGTAGGCTTTGGACCCCTTATTGATAATATGCCCTTAATGGAACTCGAAAACATATTTTTCCAGCAAGACGACGCATATAAAAAATCAAATTTTCTGTTGATAATTCTTAAATGATTAATTTTAAAAAAAGTATACTTAAACCATTAAATTCTACGTAAAAAGGTGCTTTGGAAATGTTTTCATAAAAATACAAAATTTTCCATAGCAAAAAAGTTACAGCGATTTGTTAAAAATGCATATTTTTGAAAAACACCCCGTAACTCCGAAACGGTAACATATATCGAAATGTGGTTTTCACCATCGTGTTTTTGACAAAAATTAAGCTCCAGACACCGATATTAGTTTTTGTCTACCTCCTATAGGAAAGGGTGTTTCCATTTAAAAGCGTCGAATTTGATCCACCCTGTACAAGATAGCCATTAGGCCGTAAAAAATTCATCGTTACTTTATTAGAATATTTTGAACGGGAAAGCGGTAGTAATGTTCCTGTATGCCCCTTAAGAAGGTGTGTTTTGTTGATGTAAAAAAACTAAAAATAACTAAACTAACTGTTTATACAGGGTGGTCCGAACTTTATTCCGGAAACTTCGGCAGCATATTCTGCAGATAAAAATAGGTAAAAAAGTTCGTATAAATGTATACCCTAAAATGCTTAGTTTCGGAGATACAGGGTGTGGAATTTCATTTTTATTTCGATTTTTTCCAAATAATTTCTGAAGTAACGTCAATATTTCGATGAAAATTGGTGTTCAGGAGTTTTTTGACATAAGAAATTTGATTTTGATGTCCATATAACTCCTACTTGTAGAGGGCGCCATCTACATATTTTTTAACTGGTTTGAAGAGCAAAAACTTTTTGTCTGTAACTGTATAAAACTACCGAGTAAAAAAATATACATTTGCGACGTTTTTTACGTAAAAAAGGTCTCTTGGTAAAAATCGATACTAGTAATAGTTTTTAAGATATCTGGAACCGAAATGATCAATACCTGTCAACATTGACATAAATTAAACATGTTGATTAAATATTTATTAGACTGAAATCATAGATTTGAAATGATTTTATCCCAAAAGTTCAACAGAACTGTTTTATCACAATTTTTTCGAAGAAAAATTTATGATTAATTAAAAAAAATCAAAACTTCCCAAATTTATCATTTCAGTCAAATAACTATATACTCATGTACAGCAGTATCATGTGTACAGCATGTTTATTTTATGTCAATAATGACATGTATTGACTATTTTCTATTCTAAATATCTTGAGAACGGTTGCTCATAACAGTGTTTATCAAAAGACATTTTTTACGCAAAAAAACACGGAAATGTATATTTTTTTACTCTCTAGTTTTATACAGGTACGGAGAGATGAAAAGTTGTTACATTTCAAAACAGTTAAAACATATGTAGGTGGCGCCCCCTACAAACAGAAGTTCTATTGACATCAAAATCAAATTTCTCATATCATCTCATCTCATCTCCCAAATACCAATTTTCATCCAAATATTGACGTTACTTCAGAAATTATTTGGAAAAACTAAGCGTTTTAGGACATATATTTATACGATTTTTTTACTTATTTTTATCTGCCGAATATGTTGCCGAAGTTTCGAGAATACAGTTCGGACCACCCTGTATATATTTATAATTATTTATTTTTGTTTCCTAAAATATTTTGATTAAAAGAAAATATGTAAAAGAGGCCAACACTGTGCCGGTCAAGCTTAATCACGCGAATAAAAGTTTATTTGATATGATATGAACTATTTCTGCAAACATTTGAAAATGCAAAAAATAGTTATCGGCAAAAAATAATTCTGAACAGTACTTACTTTGAATTGGGCACATTCATCTTTTTCCTATAGTCTGTTATGCTTTGAAAATAGGGTTCGCGTTTTTTCTCCTTGATAAAGTTGGCAAAGAAATGCGAGTCGATGAAATTAACGAACACATCGATATTCTTTTTATGAGAGGTTGCCCAATCTATTGACGACCAGACCATTGAAGAGGTGCTTGTTTCCGCTGAAATTTTCTTCAGTAAATCAGCATAGGAGATTTCTGAAAGAAATGTGTTTCCAAAATCAACATTTATATTCTATGCCATTATTATAATATTGTAATCGCAAAACACTTTGCACGATGCACGTCATCAATCATATTGGCATTGACACTAAAGTCTATAAGCCTGACTAAATGAAATTTTGGCAAAAATGTTTAAATTTGTTGTATGATTTAAGATACCGAGCAGTTATTTATTTTACTTTATAGAGCAAATGATTGTAACGATAAGATATTTTATTTAGATTAAAGCTGCAAAAATTAGTTTAAACCGAATTTTATTATCGCTATGTTGGTCACATTGCGCCGTTTTCAGCAAGGTTGTCGTTTATTATTTGACAATTACCCTAATATCAGTCATTATTTTGTATAAAATCGCGTTGTTGTAGAATCTTTCTGAGTCTTTCTCGTATTTTTGCCTATTTTCATAGTCTTTTTTTAAAAGTTGTACATTTAAGCACAAACAGTTCATTTAAGAACTAAATTTTCGAGTTTTTGTATTGCATTTCTTGAAATTGTGTGTTGAAAATATGCCGAAGCATTTAAACAGTCGAAGCAAAGAGCTTGTAGCTTCCCTAATAAACTATTTTTATTGAGAACGTGAGATTAAAGGTCCTTTATTATCCTTGACTGCAGTCAGAGAAGTAAGTTTGATTGATAAGCGTCATTACACCACTTTCAAAGTTATTTCTACGTCAGTTTTTATTAAATTCTGTGAATATTAGTATGTGCATTAATAGCACCCTCTTGTTATTACCACTTATGGCGTTGTAAGATGTACATCAATAAATAAATAAATATCCCATAATAACACTTGATAATGGACTATAGTTTTTGCCACTATTTAATAAGTAAAATAAGCTATAAAACAAATAAATCAATTAATTACTAAAATATTAAGTTTTTAAATTAAAAATAAAACGTAAAAATCTTTAAAAAATGATATAATAAATATATTGTTTGTCACTCCTAAATTAATATTTATCTCATATATCCATCACAATCTGGCAGCGCTGTCGCCATCGCGTGTCACTCAAAGTTGATCATATGGATCGGAAATTGTTATGCGATTACCATAGGTAATAACTTGGATAATAATTTTTTTTTTCCTAAAATAAAATTAACGTTCAAAAACAAAATAAAATAGAACACTAAATCACCACAATATACCAAAACACTTTTACTTTTACACTGGACGCGCGTTTCGCCAACCATGTTAGCATCATCAGCAGATGATTGAAACTAAAATTTTAGACATCTACAATAATTTATTACGAGCTTATAGTATATTAGTTTAGTTTTAATCATCTGCTGATGATGCTAACAAGGTTAGCGAAACGCGCGTCCAGTGTAAATGTAAAAGTGTTTTGATGTATTGTGGTGATTTAGTGTTTTAGTTTGCTGTGTAACACCAAAGGTTCCAACCCCCATCTGTAATCTTCACTAACGTTCAAAAACCTGGGGTCAAAAAATTCAATTATATTTAATTATTTATTACACACCAAATCTCGTTTATTTTTTAATCTAAAAAAATAAAAAAGTTATAGGGGTGTTCCACCTTTGAAACGTATCCGGTATATAAAGGTGTACAATCGAAAAAAGAGCGTCAAGTTGGTTTGAGATATCAATCAAACATATATACCATATAATTTTACATACAAAATGACAGTAATCTTCATTTCCATGCCAATTCTGATTTTTTTTTTAACTGTATGGTACATATTAATAAAAAAAAATATTTTATGAAAGAGCAAGTATATCTTTTCATTATTTTAAAAATAACATTAAAAATAGATATCGTAACCATCTAAGATTCTCTGATGACATAGCCCTATAAATGCCAATAGTCCTGAAGAATTACAAGCAAAGTCATCTATACTAATACATAAAATTCTTAAGTGACTGACTCACTGATTAATCACGATCCTGCTCAAACCAGTCAACGCAAGAAGCTCAATTTTGGCATACAGGTTGATTCTAGGGTGTAGAGGTTCGATAAGAAGGGATTTTTCGAAATTCCAGCTCCAAGGGGGTGAAACCACTAGTGATGAGTGAAATATCGGTAACTGTGACTTTGTCACTGATATTCTATAATCACAGTCACGGCCTGTGAATGATTTGAAAATAAACGGTGACTTGCTAAAGCGTGACGATTACAGTTAATTGTGATTTCTCTGGTAACGAGAAAACACTTCACAGAGCGGGACGTCGCGCGTCGCGAACGCAGTTGCCGATGGCGCCGGTCGTGACTCAGTTCACAGTCACGAGTCACGACGTACGTCTCATAGGATAGATATCTGACAAAGTGATCTAAAGACAGTGACTGTTAGAAGTGATTTAATTTTTTATGTATTTTATATTTTATTACTATTTTCTATCACTACGAATCGGTTTGGTTCCTTTTTAGTTTAGCAGTTTTTTTAAAGCCAAACATAAAGTTTTACCTTTATACTGTTTATTTTTTTTAGAAACTTCATTTTCGAAGGAAAATATTTGTTGTTTAATGTATTACTTATCTCGTGTTGTTAAGTTTCGTTCGTTATGGTTATGAGCATATTGCATATTTTATTCTTTTCCCGTTGGTTTCTTTAAATAAAAAAATTGTTTTATTTTTATTTCTTAATATACCTTTTACCCACTGTTTAGTGTTTTCTATTTCAGCGGCCTTGGATAAAGGACAAATAAAAATTAGTATAACAACAACAACAGAATCGTATCATTCGTATCGTATCTTATATTTTAGCCGTGATTGTGCTTTCGGATTCATAATCATAAAGTCGCAGTCACAGTTAAGAGTCACAGATAATACAAAGTCGCTGTCACAAATAAGCCTGTGAACAGAAAATCACGGTTTGGCTCATAACTAGAAACCACCCCTCAAATATTACAATATTTTTTTATTTAAAAAAACGGTCAAGTTTCCGAAAAAACGCTTAAACGAGTATATTTTATTTTGTTTTTTTACATATTTTAAGATTTTTTAAAAATGTTTACAGGGTGTTTCGAAAAATCTGGCCATTGATTAATCACGATCCTGCTTAAAGCGCTTGACGTAAAAAGCTGAAAAGTGGATAGAGGTACCCGAATGGAGTTCTCAGACGGACAGACAGACAGACGGTCATCTATACTATGTAAAATCCTTAAGTGACTGACTCACTGATTAATCACGATCCTACTCAAACCACTCAATGTAAGAAGGTGAATTTTGGCATACAAGTTGATTCTAGGGTGTAGAGGTTCGATAAGAAGGGATTTTTCGAAATTCCAGTTCCAAGGGGGTGAAACCACCCCTCAAATATTACAACATTTAAAAACGGTCAAGTTTCCGAAAAAACGCTTAAACACGTATATTTTATTTTGTTTTTTTACATATTTTAAGATTTTTTAAACATGTATATAGAGTGTTTCGAAAAATCTGGTCATTGATTAATCACGGATTGACTTTAGAGTGTAGAGATTTGATAAGAAGGGATTCTTCGAAACTCGAATTCTAAGGGGGTGAAACCACCCCAAAAATATTAGAATATTTTTTATTTAAAAACCAGTGAGTTTTTCGGAAAAACTCTTAAACACGTATATTTTATTTTGTTGTTTTACATATTTTAAGATTTTTTAAAAATTTATACAGGGTGTTTCATAAAATATGACCATTGAGTAATCACGATTCTGCTTAAACTGCTTGACGTTTAAAGCTGATTTTTGGCAAACGGATTGACTGTGGGGTGTAGAGGTTCGATAAGGAGGGGTTTCTCGAATGTCAAATTCCACGAGGGTAAAAACGCCCCCCAAATATTACAATATTTGTTATTTAAAAAAAGGTTCGTCTTTCGGGAAAACGCTTGGACGCATAATTTATTTTGTTTTTTACATATTTTGAATTTTTTTAAAAAATAATACAGGGTGTTTGGTTTGGAGGATCGTGATTAATCAGTGAGTCAGTCACTTAAGGATTTTATATATTAGTACAGATTTAGTACAACTAATACAACAGCTCGGGATCTCTACCACTACAAATCAACAGAAAAATTAAGTTAGCATGGAGTACTTATGGAAGAAACTCAATCATCTACGATATCTTTTCAAATTCATTTGCATTATTGCAAGTACTTACTTTTGGTAATACTATGCACACACACTTTGTCATCTTTAAAAGTTCCAATAAACACATCCTTTTCGACCCTCAATAAAACCAGTGTATAAGCGGCAGCCACTTCCAAAGAAGTTAAAGCTTTGTTACCCATACATTGTGCCTTTTTGGCTTGATCTGTTACGTCAATTGTTACCAGATATCTAAAAAATATTTCTATTATTGCTTTCCTTTTAAAAATTATATGGAAAAAGGCTCACCTTTTGTTGGTCGGCGACACGTTATTACAAGCCAAATTGAAACATTTATGCAGGGCATTTAGTATATGAATACATTTAGCTTCTGTTCTGACTGTAGCTTTTTTTAGATTTTCTTCAGAGATTTTTTTGTCATTTTGTAAATGATGTACAAGTTTCGGATCTAATGGTCTAAAAAAATATTAAGTATACAGGGTGTTTCAAAAAACATGTGCTATCTCCCCCTCGTGGGGACATTCCTCATATAAAAATATGATTTTTTTTTATCAACATAGTTGTGCTTTGTTTCGTAGCTACAGGGTGTTAAAATCTTCATTTCTTTATTTATTATAATTTTCTTCCATGTGCTTTTAGTAATTGTAGGGTTCAGGAGAACAACAGGATAAGGGTCATTTTACTAATTTTACAGGAGAACACTGGACGGCTGGTGGTTATCAGGATCTTTCCGTGTATTCTATATTTTTACTAGGCATATATCATAAGATTTAACAACTTATTGCTCTGCAGGGTTTACACGTTTGTTAGGAACCAGTTAGGCCTACTATAATATTGTAAAATCTTAAAATTAAGAAATTGGCGCTTAGCAAGTCCCAACTAGCAAATAGAGTTCGCAGTCCTTTTTAAAATGTTACTGCCCCTAAAGTATAGTTCCTAGGCCCACTCTGCCACTTAAAATGTTACTCTATAAGGAATAGTCACTTTGAAGTATATTTCGAGAGTGACCGGTTAGTGCCTACCTAACATAATAAGTGGAAAATAAACACCTCGATTGCAAGTCGCAAACATGTAATTTAAAGAAGTGGCTGGAACTACCCGAATCTTCGAATATGACACCATAAAAGACCTAAAACTTTATAGTAACTTTTCAAAGTAGGGATTACTAACAAGTGCTACCATAATGCCTCCATTAAGTTTTTGTTACTTTATAGTAACAATTTAAGTTACGGGGTAGTCGCGGCCACGACACCTAGTTACTTCTAATTTATAGTAGCATTGAAAGTAGCAAAATGGTTACTGCTACCTTCCTAGGTCACTATAAAGTAGTCGTCGCTCATCCATGACCACTAAAAAGTCACGGGGGTCAAAAACGGCTACTTTATAATGACCGTAACTTAATATACCCTAATAAATGTAATTGCCTCAGATTGCATCGTGTGCTGCTCTGTTTTGGTGTTTTCTTTTACTTGCTTCTAATAAAAAAACTTTATTAAAATTTTGTAAAATCCCTAAGGTGAATAAAAAGAAGTTTAAATATTCTAGTACTTGAATTAAACAAAAGGAAGCACTGCAAGCCGATGCATCGACATCAGAAACAAAAACTACATTTTTCTATAATCCTACTGATGAACATCATAAATCAGGTAGTGACTGAGACAATTTTGAAGCTGTTTCTGTAGATGAGTGTAGTGTTAGTTCATCTGAAACTGAATCTCAGAGGAGAACTAATTTGAGAACCAACAACAATATAAAACAAGAGAAAGGCGTTAAAATACTCTATACCTCATGTAGCTCTGAATAATATAGAAGCACTAATAATAGAAAATGCACAATAAGTAAAAAATAACTTCAAAGGACAAGGCGGAACGTTATAGTGGCACCAGTGGAATGTATAGTCGCCACCTCCGCGATCGGTGTAGCATAACGCTCAAATTAAGTGGCAATTTGGTGGCGCAGGGAACTTTCTTGGAAAAAATCACTTTATGGTTCCAAAGAATCGTTGACCATATAGTTCCAAAAAAGTTATTGTTTCTATAAAGTCGCCTTTGGATAGCTACAATTATCACTTTATCAATCCGAACATTTTAAAGGTCCAAACGGGTAGGGTTGGCCTAATATGTTATTGTTCCCGGTACTTTGTGGAAGCATATGGAACTATAAAGTATTTTTCAGATTAAACGGTCATATTTTTTTCATGAATTTTTAGACGAACAGCCAAATGGCTCAAACATTATGCGTTTTTAAGCTAAATATACCTATATTAAAGCTTTTTTCTTTAGTTATTTTGTTATTTCTGACGGTGGACTAATATTTTAAAGTTTGACCCCGGTTTCAAGCAAATTATTATTATTTTTTAATTACAAACATGAGTTTCTATTCCAAATAATATAATAATTTGAAATATTTTGAGAGGCGCTCGAAAATGTTGTTATATAAACCCACTATTTTATTCAGTAAAGTTGATTGCGTTCTGGAATTTACCTAAAAAAAGCGTTCAAATCGCACGGTAAATAACAAATAACGAAAAAATAATAATGGCTTCCATAATTATTTTCTATCATGACATTTATTTTTATGAAATGTGAAATTGCATGAAGAGGTTGCTGCGAATAAAGTTCAACAGTTTAACGAAAGTTCCACATGTCGGTGGCTAATACTTGGCTGCCACAAACCCGTGACTAGGCAGCTTCGTAACGGATAAGTCGCATTCACCAGGAGGCTACTTTATAGTAACACATCATAGTAACTCTTTTAGTGGTAAAAACTACCCAAGACACCACCCGGCTACTCAAAATCTTTCCCCATTTTGGTCGAAGTTACTTAGCAGCTACGAATATACGACGTAGCCGCCGATGGTCACCGCCCACTTTGTAGTGGCTTTGATAGTAGCAGTTACGTATCTGCCACTATAAATGCTAGTTGGGGTTTTCCCCTGGACCCTTCAATTGGAATTAAACTTTGAGAGTATAACTAATTATAGATTAGACTATATATTATTACACTAGAAGGACGTGCGTATGGGTTATCACTGGAATATTTTCGTGAAAAAAAAAACATGTGCGCCACTGACATTTTTCTCTTGTTAGAGAAAACATATTTGTGTAGGCCGTTTAATGCTGATTAAAAAAAGTTGTATCTTGATATTTTGCCGATTTTGGTCTCCTTCATGAGATAAACTTTGAGAGCAATTTTATCAATCACAAATAATAAACTTAGTAAATTACTTATTTAATCTAATTTATTATTAAAACTCAAGCTTGGAAGAAAATTATAACAAACCGAAAGGAAATTCAGACTTTAACCCCTTGTAGATAGAAAACAATGTAGAATCAGACCTATTTTGATATAAAAAATAAATCTTATTTTTATGCGTGGAATCTCCCCACGAGAGATGGCCATGTTTTTTGAAACATCCTGTATACCCAAAGTTATGAGCTTGATTATATGAAAATTATTTTCACTTACTTTCCACCCTTTTCCAGTCTTTTCATGTAAGTGAAAACTTCAATGGGATGAACTCCACTAGCTTTGACAGTGTCCGGACTAGTGAAAATATTTATTAATTGGTTACTGATATTGGGCTCGCATGATGGTTTTAGAAGGCCCAGTTTATATAATTTTTCCAGATGAGGTAATATTTCCTGAATTTTCATGTTCTCAATTGCCGCAGACCATACCTATAAAAGTAAATCCCAGCTAACATAGTAGTTCTAGAAATTTGGAGGAATATGATTTTTAAAAAGAAAGTACACTGCCTTCTTATTTTTTACTTTTAATGGGTGGAAGGTCAAGAACGGTAAACTAAATAGGATTGCTCATCCTCATACGTACGTTCGCCTCTTCCCGCCCTTCAGCAGACAGTTGTGACGTCATTGTAGTCCTTGTCATGATAGTCTGTATTATTGGTTGCCTATAGTAAACGTATAAAGATAACAGCTAAGAAATTTTGAGTTAATTATTTTGTCGATTTTAAATATGAAAAAGGTGTTTTTAAAGTTTTTAGAGTTATAGAATGTATAAATACGTTAATTTTTTTATGTTGTAGATTGTGACTAAGTGCTTACTAAATGCCTACGATATTGTTTATTAATTATTTTAAAGCAAAATATGGAAGTACTCTAAAAAACGGATGCTGGGAACTGCTGTTCTTAAAAATGCATTATCCGAGTATTTAATACGATTTATACAGTTCATTTTCTGTCGCATACATATAAAGTGTTTAAATAAACAAACTAAGTAATGAATGTTTTGCATACGGTAACCAATAATACACACACTATCATGACAAGGACTACAATGATGTCACAAAGCGAGGAGTTTTCGCATGCACCTGGCAGACACTTTTGGCTGAATGAGCAGTCCTATTATGTATATATTAGGTTAACTGTTCTTGATGGAAGGTGTTGAAATAGACTACCCCTATTGTGATTTTTAAACAAATTTGAAGATATTGAAGATAAACTTAAGCTAGATTTATAAACTCGGGAGTTGAGGTTAAGTTGAACCAAATCAAACTCCCAACTTTTCGACCGAAACTGACTTTATAAATGCGCGCATTCATTTCATAGTGTTGATCATTTTAAACGTCAACTGAACCTCAACTGCCAAGTTTATAAATCCAGCTTTATGCAACGACTTGGACAAAAATCAATTTGCATAGACTGGTATATACAGGGTCGCTGATATGTATGGAAACGGTCGATTATTACAACCAACTTTTCGACCGAAACTGACTTTATAAATGCGCGCATTCATTTTATAGTGTTGATCATTTTAAACGTCAACTGAACCTCAACTGCCAAGTTTATAAATCCAGCTTTATGCAACGACTTGGACAAAAATCAATTTGCATAGACTGGTATATACAGGGTCGCTGATATGTATGGAAACGGTCGATTATTAGGTAAACTATAAGAGGTTCCTCAAAAAGTTAAATATAAAAGTTATAGAGTTTTTAAATATCAATTAGCGGGTAATAAATTTATGTATACAGGGTCGGTCATAAAGTCGTGGCACATCAAAGTTTCATTTTTTAAATCCTGTATAATATTGCACATCAAATCAAATCAAATCATTTATTGTATGTTAATAGATACAAGTATCCTTACACAAAGTCATATTTTGTAAAACGCAAAATTATAAAATAAGCACAATAATTATCTAACAGTAATTTAAAGTACACAAAAAAACAATACACAATGTAAATGTTTTAACCTATAACCACGCTATAACCCTTCACTGCTTTCTAAAAAATCAGTAACACTAAAATAAGCCATATCAAGAAGGTAGCTTTTAATTGTCGTTTTAAATTGATGTTTTGGTAAATTTCTGACAATTTGAGATAATTTATTAAAACATGCAGGAGCATAATGAAGGCTGGAGTTCCAAAATCTTCCGAGGCGCAAATGAACAGGCTTTATATTCATTCTGTTTCTGGTTGCATAATTGTGTTGTTCATCATGCGTAGTATATAGTTCTAGGTTATCCTTCACAAAAAAAAGACACTGGAGGATAAAGCAACATGGAAGTGTCAGTATTCCCAGTCTTTTGTAGGCGTTTTTTGTATCTGCTTGATAACTTAAATTTGACAAAATTCTCAATGCTTTTCATTGCAGTCCAAACAGTCTGTCAGCATGAGCTGAGTGACCCCAAACAAGTATAGCATATTTCGGTTCTTCCTTCAATTCTAAGCAAAAATTGAGGGTGATGGTACATTTTAGGTACGTCGTCAATCTTGAAGTTATTGATGTAAATTTGATATTAATATATTCTACAATTATTAATATTTTAACGTCTTAAGTACGGATCATACGGGTACTCGGCTAAATGTTTGAGATTTCTGCTATAAATTTATTTATTTTTTGAGGTTACAATATAGTAGCTTTCTTTATTAAGTTTAATAAGAGTGACAAGGAAGACGCAGATTTAGGTTTGTTTGTCTTTTGCTCGCGTCTGCGCATATCGCAGGCGGTAACAATGAAATATTGAAAATCGGGATTTTGTTTTATTTATATTTTCCTATTAATTTTGTAAAATAGCCGTAGCGATATTAAGTTGATAAGAATAGATATTATATTTTGATCTGTGTTAAAGGTTGAGAAGAGGATCACAATGGTAAAAACGTCCGCCGTAACTGAGTTTTGATTGCATTGGTTACAACATTTTTTTGGAGGGTTTTGTTTTTGGTGTTATTTATGGACGATCCGCACTTTTTTCGTTAGAAAATATCATTATACTCGTAAGTGTCCCTCTTCTCAATTCTGTATAGAAAATTTTAAAAATTCGACGTACCTAAAATGTACCAGACCCAAATTGAGATACATACAATGTACCTCAAACCCAAGGACTGTATATATTCTAAAGGACTGTTCGATCGCGCCAAATCGCCGGTGTCGTAGTCGCCGTGGAATTTTACGTCACGCGCTGACCAGCGCTCCACAGTGCGGCGGATGGTTATTTTAGCGGGACAAAATCTCAAGAGCAATGTTTGGGACAAGAGCAATGTTGAAAATCTAAGAACGTAGCAAATGGTCTAATATATAGCAAATATATGGTTAAATTTATTTATTTATTAACAACTTAATTTATTAATAAATAAATACAAGATAATAAAACTATGATATTATTCATACATGACATACAAAAACCGTATTGTAAACTATTGCCAAATACATAAAATTATGATATCAGGTGAAATACTTACAAAAAACTCTTTAGCAGTTATTTTTTAATTACTTTGTAATCTTGGGACACCCTCTATATTTTATTTTAAAAATATTATTTAAGATAGATATTTTAATTTTAATTTTAACACTCGGTAATTGTAAATTCATAATATAGTAAGTATCTAAGACAATTTTTTAAACTCAGAGCGTTTTGATAGAGTTGTTTCGTTTTTATACTATCCGATTGAAATGAAACTTTTTGGGCATTCGCCTGTTAAGCTTGAACTCCCTGTGACTGTGACTACCTGTGTTGGTAACTATTGGTAACTCAAAAGATCTACATCATTCAATATATCGATATTTGAAAAAAAGTGAAAGTTTGATATCTGCAGAACAAAGGCACGAAGGATTTTAACAAATAATATACGTACAGTAGAAAAGTACATACCTTTGGCAATCTTCAACATAATTTGTCTTTGGAATAAAATGTATAAGCACTTGTAAATATTTTGTTTTCGTATGATCTCTGCCTTGCTGAGCAGAAAACGACCAAATTTGGTTGATAAAAATGTTTCGAAATACAAAGAATATTCATGCATTTTTATATCAATTGGAATGTCTACTATTTATTCTTACAGTATACACTTTTTGGCTTATTTCTAACCAAGCGCTTTTGTCCCGCTAAATTTATCTTCCAACGCACTGTGCGCTCGTCTGTCAAATGCAAAAATAACTGTCACTGTCTAAAATCTTTAGCGCCAAGTTCAACTCGGTCCCCAGGTGACGTAAAAAACTGACAGTGCAGGAAGATAGGCATCGAACTATCCTTATCTCTATAGTATCCTTGCCTCAAACCAAACTTTTCCGAGCTATTGACTTTTGAAAATATCACTTAAACAATTCAATTTAAATAATTTCGATGTGTTGATACTTAATAATATTTGACATTAGTTTATAATAGATGTAGTACAGATGTAGTGTATAATATGTATAATAGACATAGATGTATAAAATAAAATTATATCAAGTCTGGAAATTACAAAATTACAACGAATTTTTAAGTGAAAATGTCAAAAGTTGACATAATATGATATGCCATTCTATTCAGACTGTCATCGAATAAAGTAAAAAAGCGAGGGTGTCATTTAAAGCCCAAAGTTGTAATCATTTCTGATAAAACAGGAGTTGACTGAAAACTATTGAAATGTCAATCAATTCTGATTTGTGTCTCACACTAAAGTACCAAATTTCGTTTTTTATCTAAAAAATAAAAAAGTATAGGGCCCCCTTTGACAAACACCCGATATACACAGAAGATGTAGGGTATACGCTCCTGGACTCTATACTTTGCATCCTTGTATGTCTACTTCTTATAGTGTACCTACTACATGTTATACTGTACAATTTAAAAAAATATTACCTGAATAACTGTAAAATCTAACAGCCTTATTATCTCAAAAAAATTAAAAAAATAAGTCTGTTAAGTGTGTCTTGTTACCTCAAGATTTTGGTGCAAAGAAGGTGAAACTTGCTTGATAGTTAACTTCAATTCAGCTAACAGTGGTACAGCATTTACAGCTTCAGTGGTGCTCCGAAGTTCAGTTGTTTTTCGTAAAATATCCATAACTTTTTGTTCCTCTTCATTTGCTCTATCGTTGGGCTGCTTTTTTAATATGTATTTAATAACCGCATCTTTCACTAAAATACAAGCAGTTTGATAAAGCTGACTACTTAGCTGACTATATCATAAATAGAGATACAACCAATTTACTCACATGTTGTGTCTGGTTTTACATGAGCTAATTTAATGAGATCTTTATGCGTCCACGTATGTAAACTATTAAATTGAGCAAAAGATTGTGCTAACTCTAGAGAGGACTTCTTCGTATAATACTTTTTAACAATCTTTTCAACGGACGATGGAAGTTTACAATTCTTCCTTAGTTGAGTGTAATACTTGATGAAATCAAAGAAGTCTTCATCAGATTGACACAGCTGCAATACTTTCGCCGTCACTTGACTTTTTAAGGTTGGAGTCATCTTTTCATGATGTAGCAATTGGCCCAAGAACATAAATATTGTAGAACGGCTAGGTAAATTTTTATCACTATTAGCAGCATCGAGGACAGAAAATACCTCCTTTAACTCATTTTCTATAGCACTATCAATTGTAGAATGTCTTTGACTAGATATTTCCTTTCGATATTTGTCAGGGTCCCCAACATAGTAATCATTGTGGGTATTATTTACATAGATAATTCGCCTAAGATAATCTTCAAGACTCAATGATGAAGTCATAGCTAAAATAATTTTTTTACATTACAATGCATAATAATAGATAATAGAGGATGGACACTAAAAAAATTAAATTTAAAACAAAAATATTTATCCATAATCGTGAGGCGCACTTTATAAGTATATACATTTCACAATGAATATGAAAAAAACATTTTAAAACAGAAAAAATTGATTGCCTAGTTACTCACAAATATTTATAGGACTAAAACATGCTAGAGCCTATAGTTACATTACCTCTTGAGTTAGCTAGTTAGCAGGTATCTAAGTAAAAACTTTTTCCCCAACAATTCAAAGCCTAAATTCGAAAAGATCTCCAATTTATTCCAAATTAACATGCACAAAATGCTTTCATGACAACGTAGACCAACTAAACAGCTGTAATATTGACAATTGACAACTGACAAAAAATTGACAGTTTTCAGATTAGGCCCTACTAGGAATGTGCTTTAGAAAAATTCGAAGCTTTAACATTTTCTGAAATTAAAGTCAAATTGTACGATGATATAGAATTACAGTTAGATTTATTTCCCTTTCCTTGTTAAAATAAATTAAAAGAGTGATATCCAGTTTATCTAATTTATTATGAATATTAATAGGTTGCTATTTTATTTTAAATATCAACTTTTCGATGCCTTATCGATATTTTTATCGATATTTTTTTTGCACGCTCTCTCTAGTATTTAAAGTATAGAAAACTGTCAGTAACAGCTGATTGTCAAGAAACTGCTAGGAATTTTTCTGTATGATTAAGATTAATTCCTATTTCCTAGCATTAAAAATGCTGTATCAACAAATAATTCAGTTATCGGACACGATAAGCTTTGTTTATATTTAAAGCGGTGTTAAGATAATAACTTGAATGAGTTCGTTGCAGAATAAATGCCAATTTGATTGAAAAATCAATATATTGATACTTTCCTTCAGGAGGCATATGGTGAAAAGTTTAGTGAATGTGAATAAAAATGTTTTCGGCAATTAAAAGATTAACCAGTAAAGGAGACGGTCCTTCAAGTAACAATGTCGGTTCTAAAAGTCCAAATGTTCAAGCAATGTCTTCATCATTGCAAAGAAAATTTGCAAAAGGGATTCAATATAACAGTAATTAAATTTGAACTAAAATGTGTTGCAAATAGTTTTAATATTTCCTCTTTTTTCCAGTGAAAATTGTGATCAAAGGAGACAGGAATGTAGGAAAAACTTGTCTATTTTATAGACTTCAAGGGAAGAAATTTGTGGAGGAATATATACCTACCGATGAAATTCAAGTTGCTTCAATCCAGTGGAATTATAAAGCAACAGATGATATTGTTAAAGTAGAAGTGTGGGATGTTGTGGATAGAGGAAAGAAGAAAAAGCATTTTGATGGATTAAAATTAGAAAATTCACAGCTTGAAATGCCGGAGGAGGCAGCTTTAGATGCGGAGTTCTTGGATGTTTACAAAGGAACGAATGGTGTGATAATAATGTTGGACTTAACGAAAAGTTGGACATTTGATTATGTTCAAAGGGAACTACCAAAGATTCCAAGTATTTTTATTTTATATGTTTAATTTGAAAGAAATAGGAACTTATATTTTTGTTTTTAGGTCACATTCCTGTTATCATACTATCAAATCATTGCGATATGTCTCATCATAGAACTGTTACAGCTGATCATATAAATTTTTATATAGAGTCGATTGCTGGGTAAGTATTCCTTTTTTTTATGTATACAGGGTGACCCATCAGTGTTCTGAAAAAACTCCATGTTTTCTATGTGAGATTTTTACTGTTACACCGTTTTTTTTTATAAATATTCAGAAAATAATGCCCTCATAGACATATACAATTTTTATTGTAGTTTTATAAATTTAACTAATTAACTATACAGATTGTTAACTGGACGGTTACTTATTAGGGAACATAATGGCAACACTGCCTTCCAAATGTGTACAATTCCAAATGAGTAGGTACTAAGCTAAGCTGCTGACTCTTCCCGTCCGTCGCGTCGTCTCTCGACGAGCGGGCCGAGGTTACCATATTTTAACCATAAAGCTCTTGCCGCGAGAAATAAACAAATTAACAACCTGTATATTTTTCCTTAATTGATTAAAAAGTCCCATTCCAAGAATGTCATCATGTTGACTGGAAATGACTATGAAGTGTTTTGTATCTTCTTCATAAAATAACTGTACTTAATTCAAATTCAAATTCAAAAGAACTTTATTGTTAAAAAATATATAAATTTTTGTAAACAAAGCATATTCCTAAATCTAAACCTAAAATACTTATTGCCAGCAAATTTAAACATCAAAAAACAGTTCCATCAAAAGCAAACAAATGCCTGTAAAATATCAAAACAAAAAACAAAAAATTTGTGTAAATACAAGATTGAACAAAATACAACCATTTAAACAAACAAACAGAATTCAGGAAAATAGGTTTAAACAGCTAAGTAAAATTATTACTTAAGTAGGAATATGTATATAAAAAGGTCATATAACTCTTAGTAATATTATGATAACTGTTAGTAAAAAACAAAATATCTCATATACTAGGTGTTTCTCAAAAGTGGCTCACTCCTATAACTTTTTTATTTTATCAGATAATAAAAAAATATAAAACGAGATTTGGTATGTTAGTATATGATATAAATTAGGATTGATTGACGTATTCAACTGTTTTTGGTACCACTTCCTGTTTCACCGGAAATTACTACAACTTTTGATTTTTAAATGGCACACTCGGTATATTTTTACTTTATTCGATAGAAAATGACACTCTGAATAGAATGACATATCATATCTCTCATAACTCAAGAATTAATTTGTATAAACCACTCAAAATGAATAATTTGCTTTGTTTTAAGGAGTTCTTTAAAAAGTTTCAAATCATTTTTTCTGTAAAATAAAATTGGGAAAACTTATTCATCATTTTTAAAATTTACATGGGATTTTCTATGTCTGATGTATATGGTGTACATACTGATGTATATGAGGAAAATAGTTTTACCTAAAATTTATTATTTACAGTACCAGATCAGCCCAAGTTAGACATACAGAATCGTCAATGCGCAATGGGTTTGGCCTAAAATTTCTGCATAAATTCTTCAACTTACCTTTTTTGCAATTACAAAAAGAATCTTATTTAAGGCAGATTGAAAGAAACACGCAAGAAACAAATGCAACGATTCAGGTTAGTTACTTTTACGAACATCTTCCGCAAGATTGAAAAAAAAACGGCGTCAAAGACGGCTGGGGAATGACAATCGATGATAATTTTGGCGGGGTTAATCTTGAGACGTTATTAACTAAAAATTGACATGTAAATTCAAAAAATACCACTAATTATAGAAAGATTAAAAAGTACAGAACGTTTTCAGACCGACAAATCTATTTCCAAAAACTATTGGTATTTAAAAATCATTTTTACTCAATATAAAAATAAATTACAATCTTGGTAGTAAGCGCTATTAAAAAATAAAGAAGAGTACGGGCCAAGTAAATTACGTTTCGGGCTTGACCTCGCCAAAATTATCATCGATTCTCCATCCGTCTTTGACGCCGTTTTTTTTCTCGATCGTATGGTATTATAATAATATTTATATTTTATATATTTTTAGGAGCTGGATATGTTTGCTGATTCAGATGAGGCGAATTATGCAAAGTTTCTGGATAATTTAGTGAAAAAGAGGAGGGAAATAGCCGACTCAAACGCCAACATTCCTCCGTCGCCAGTTGTTGAAAAGACGGGTGTGATTGACATGAAAAGATCTCAGAGTTGCTCCATTGTCCTAGGTGCAGGTATGTAATTACGTATATGTGATAAATATTCCTTATTAATAAAAAATAAATAACGATGTACTTAAACAGCCGTTAAACGGTAGCCTACTAAAATGCCGTTAATAGATATTGTGACGTCGTTCATGTCGGCGGAAAGTAATGCCTAGCTATAAGCATTTTGCAAGAGCACCTGTGGCTCCATTGCTGAGGCTATCACTTCGTAAGCGAATGGTCCGTGGTTCAAATCTCACGCCGACCAAGACTTTCTTATATATTTTTTTGCTTATAGCGTGATCTTATTGCATTGGTTTCACTCTTTTTGTTTGGATTGGTTTAGTTATTTGGCGGGTTGGTTAGCGTGGTTATTTGGAGGGTGTTAATTCATTGGTTAGTTGGTTATTTGGTGGGGTTGGTTGGTTTTTACTAATTTATATTTGTTTATAATATATTTTTTACAAGTGTCGAGGTTAGTTGCGTTGGTTAAGTTGGTTATTTGGTGGGGTGGATAGCGTTGGTTAGTCCTTATAAAATTCCTATATTTCATAAAGCCGTCAAGTGCGTCTCATCAACGACGTCATACCTATTAACGGCATTTTAGTAAACTACCGTTTAACGGCAGTTTAAGTTCAGCCAATAAATAAAATGTGTTCTCTTGGTTTCATTATCTGATGGTGTTTTTTTTATAAAAACTTAGTAGTCATCCAAGTAATTTGGAAGCCAGCCTACTTACTTTGATGTTAAAAAGCCTTTCAACTAAAAACTTTCAACTTGATTTTGATTAACAGTCAATATTGTTACGTTTTTCGTCGGTTCCGTGTTGATAGAAAGTCTAATTTATTTAAACACAATTTATTTTGCACAAGGTAGCAAAACAATAACGATAAAACTACTTAAAGAACTATTTACAACTTATTTATCTAACTATCTATCTAAAAGGAATTTATTTTGAATTTAGCGCGGCAACTGTACGCGTCTACCGATCTGTTTGTTTCTGTTCATTCTTTGCACAGGTCTCGAGTTATATACCTACAACTAAACCGTTCTCGAATAGTCCATTACATCATTAGGTGTATAGAGAAGATTTTCAGAATGTTCTCGTATGTATGCCGCCATTCCAGTGGAACTCGATTGTTCTCGAACGTTCGATGTGTATAATAAAGGCATTTATTTGTTTATTTAGATTTATACATTTCTTCAGCTTATATCGCATTTTACTTATTTCTATGATGTCTATCCCCTTCGCTCACTGACTAAACTTTCAGGCAAACCTATTCCCTACGGCAACGTACCTCAGACCTCCGCCAAACCTTCGTCAACCTCTCAAGTGGCCAAAAGCATCAGCATGAACGCGTTCGGACTGACCGCCAAGTCTCCGTTAGAAGGAGACGTTGCCGATGGGTTGCTAGATGTCAAAAGACAGGAGGGTAACGCCATCGCGTCCGTGGAGGAGTTCTGTCCGGACGGAGGACATTTGGGAGGGTTTTTGGACGACGTGCAGTTTAGTAGCAATCAGGGGCCGTCCAGGATTGTGGAGAATGAGGAATCAGATTCGTAAGTCATTGTAATGGTAGTTTTTTGTCTGCGTACCTATGATTAGGGTGATTTTTGAATAAAAATTAAAGGGCAAATTTTGACGTGACAGACTAGAGCAGGGATGGCGAACCTTTTTAAGACCTGTGTGAAATTTTGTTCATATTTTTTTATTACTAGCTCATTAGGCGCTAATGCCCATTTGCACCAGAGTTAAGTTTTAAAAAAATAACTCAGTATTTTTAAAACTAATTATCTTTAAAATTCAATAATTGTCCTATCTGGCAAAATGAGCGTGGTTTGCCGATTTTTTTAACAAACAAAATGCGAGTAAAATTATACACTTTATTCGATATTTTGTAAACACTTTTACTTTATTTCAAGTACTACAAACTAGAGGTGGGCAAAGATTGAACGAGTATTAAAAATGAATCGTGAGATTCGATTCACCGCTTAGAAGACGGTTCGTTTAATTGAATAGTGGCCAGCACGGATCCATAAAATGTGAGCGAACGAGTCATATAAAAGAGTCGTAAGAATTGAATCGGATCATAATACGACTCGTTTGTTCAAAGAATCGTGAGAATTAATTCATTGCTTACAATACGGTTCGTTCGATTGAATAGTGGCTAGCACGGATCCATAAAATGTGAATAATGAGCCGTAAAAAAGAGTTGTAAGAATTGAAACGGATCACAATGCGACTCGTTCGTTTTTACAGCCTGTTGGTTCAAAGAGTCGTGAGAATTGACTCATTGCTTACAATACGGTTCGCTTAATTGAATCATGGCCAGTACGGATCCATAAAATGTGAGCGAGAGTCGTAAGAATTGAATCGGATCACAATGCAACTTGTTTGTTCAAAGAATTGTGAGAATCAATTCATTTATTACAATACGGTTCGTTCGATAGAATCGTGGCCAGCACGGATCCATAACATTTGGACGATGAGCCGTAAAAAAGAGTTGTAAGAATTTAATCGGATCACAATGCGACTCGTTCGTTTCTACGGCGCCGGCGCGGCGGTGATATAGGCATAGGCACCAATATTTAGACTTGAACAGAAACCCTAAACAAATATCATGGGCATAAAATGCAAACGATAAGAAAATTTGCAAGAGAAAAACTCATTTATACTGTGCTTAGTATGGGAGGATCTGTAATGCATTTAATTTTCACGTTAATATTTTTGTTAAAATAATATTTACTGATTATAAACCATTAAATGTCTGACTAAAAGACGAAATCGTGTTTTTATGCGACCAAATATGATGGTTATAAAATGAAGATTGCTGTCATTTTATATATAAAGTTATATGGGGAATATCATCAATGTTTATTTCCACGACAACTGGATGCCGTCTGTTTTGATCATGCGGTATTATATACTATTTATTATATGATTATTAAATTGAAATTAAAATATGATCTAAAATTATTAAATTGATATTAGGAAGTTTTTAATAAATAGTATACTAAGGGCTGGCAAAGGTTAGTATGGGGTCGAGATTTCCGTATGTAAGAAGAGTACAATGCGTTTATAATGTACTGAACAAAGAGGGGACAGTAAACACGTTGCCAAACGTATGAAATAAACCGAGAAACTGTGCACATCGCTAAGAGACGTGGAAGGGGATATAGCAGATTTGTCGCAGTTGACCAGTCGACCCAATCAATACCTCTGTCAGTACTTAAAGTTCTATGGAAAGGTGTACGTCATGCGTTCAGCTTCACGATTTAATTACGTCCCGTGATACTTAATTTGTTCATTTATTAACGAATCGTTGTAATTTTCCCTATAGCTTGAATTTTTTTAAGTGCAAGCTAGAAACACTTGCATTTTTGGTAAAAATAAGTGGAATTAAGTGGGCGTTCGATAGTGGTCGCGCTATTAGAACTCTGAATTCAAAAGTGGATATCTCGAAATCTATTAGAACGATTTCTGCTGTATTTTCTGTGTATACAGTATGTGAAAATCTTTATTAATAAAAAAATTACACGATTGCTGAAAATTGCTATGCTCTAAAAGTAAATGGATGGATTTTTTACAATTTTAAAATAGAAAAAACAACCTTATCGAATTTTTCTTATGTAAACATATTGTAAAATATCCTTGAAAATAAAAAAAAGTTTCAATATCTAAAGTGGTTCTTGAGTTATGGCCTGTTATGTGTTAAAAAGTTGAGTTTTTAAATTATCGCGATTACTGACGTTTTCTCGTTATAAAAAAAATGACGCCCTAACGATATCCTTATAATTCCATTTCAGATGCTCAGAAACATGTCTAATAATTTTATCTAGTTATCTCTTGAAAAAAAGTATTTTAAAAATAAGCGGTTTACGATCGTGATTTTACTTTACTTGATAGGGAAAGGCGTATCGGCAACGCCGCAACAGCACACCGTCGCGCGTCGCGTCGGTCGGTCGCATTTCTCTCACTCATTCCGACTTAATAAGATCCCTATGCGATTTACTTCCACACATGTAAATGCCGACCCAAAAGTAACAGTTGCCAGCACGGTATATATTTATCCGTTGCGTATCTGCGGGACAAAATTTTACAACCTACATCGACAATGCTTTGAAATAAACTAAATCAAGCGATCAAGCGAATCGCTCGTCGCTTGCTACTTGCCATTCATCACCGAAAGAATATGTGCCCTGCGCACGCTTACTAGACTAGACTTGACTCTTGGCGTTAACGAGTACTTACAACAAGCGACGGGCGAAAAACCGTATTTTTAAATACGAGTGATATTTCGCTCGGGGGATCACTCGGTTATTGCAATCGCTTGAAACTCGAGCACTCGATTATTGAAATTAATCGGTTTTTCCCATCACTAATATTTTATGTGGCTTTATTACATGTGTTTCCAATGTGATGGCGCTAGCCGTTTCCTGAAATATTTCGATGCGGAATTAAAACATTTAGAGGAAATGTTTCGAAACATTTTCTACAATATGTGTCTAAAGGTGTTCCCCAATTTTAATTTATTATTTTATAAAATTGACATGGTATGACAAAATTGACATGACAAAAAGAGAGAAACTCGTGTTTTGAAAATGAATCGACGATAAACCTTAAATATGTTTCCAAAATGTTTCGATTTAGCGCTATCTGTGTAGAAATAGAAATTTTGAACTAGTCAACTGTCAACAACACCAATCAAAACTTCTTGTTTTTAAAACATTTTTATTTACTTATTATAACACAATTAAAACATAAAAACATGTATTCCATTGTGAAAAAAAAATAGGAAAAAAATAGTTTGCTGGTAACATTTTTCATCGGTTTCCTGTTGGTTATGGATAGTGGCTGTTATTACATTTATTCCTAAAACAAATCATCTCTTTACTGCGTATAATAAATTATTATAAAATCGCATAAGAAAAATATATCTATATTTGTACTTACCATATATCTTCCCTTCTGCTGTTTGGTAAAATGTTTTGAAACAAAAAGCGATTTATGTTACGAAACATATGTATGTATCAAAAATGTGTCGAATTAATTCCAGAACTTTTGTGTCTTGACACAAACACCATCATTGTTTCGAAACTGTTTAGCAATGTATCTCAGTAGAGATTTTGTTTTGATTTTGTGACAAAAAATTATACTTTTGTTTACTTTATTTCAAGTACTACAAACGCATTTGTCGTCATTTGCGTAACTTTCGGACTGTTATGATCAATGAAGGTTATAGACAGCATTTAAGTTGCTTTTGTGTCAATGCAGTGCTTGAAAAATACAAATAGAATATAAATTATCCACACAATCAAAAAATGGTTACCTGGTAATCGTGGCTCAGTTCAAAACCATGCGTAGGTCAATGTCTGACCAACTGGTCATAGGCTCGTCATCACTGGACTAGAGAGAAATTGAGGTTTTGTTATTGGTAAAGAACAGACAAGATTCAGATAAAAGTATCTACAAGTTACTTAATTTATTTTACAATTCCTACAGCGATACGGATACTGGTAATCCTCTAGTGTCAGAACTACAGGAAGATTTTGAACCGGATGAAGTATCGCTGTCCAAGCCTTCCAGGATCGTTAGGAGACCCGAGACTGTTTATTCAGCTCCGGCCAGGGTTGTCAAATCGGAAGGGAGTAGCGATCACGAGGTAAAATTATAAATATAGTACCTAATGTAAAACTTTTTTAAAGTTTTTGAAAATCAAACTTTTATGTCAATTATTAGTAAATGACGTCTAGAGATTGACCCCACCAAAATTACCATCGTTTGCCATTCTCCAGCCGTTTTTGACGCAGCTTTTTTATCATGCGTTTCTGTTAGGCTGTTTTGCGTATTTGTTGGACTTTTCTGAGTTTATACCGGGTGCGTCTCAAAAGTGGCTCATTTGACACCTATAACTTTTTTATTTTTTCAGATAAAAAAAAACGAAATTTGGCATATTAGTATATAATATAAATTAGGATTGATTGGACGTATTCAACTGTTTTTGGTACCACTTCCTGTTTCACCGGAAATTACTACAACTTTTGATTTTTAAATGGCACCCTCGGTATTTTTTTTACTTTATTCGATAAAAAATGATACTCTAAATAGAATGGATATATCATATGTCAACTTTTCTCGCTTAACACAAAATTGGATGTTTAATTTTAATCTAGAGAAAAATAGATTTGATCATCTAATGTTTTTCGTATCTTTTCCTGACTGTTTAAAAGATGACCAAATCGTATTTTAATAATATCTCAATCTTTTCAAATGGAACGAGATTGGGTCATTAGCATCTTTGAAAAAAGTATTTTTTTATGAATAATTTGGTACCGCACACTTTTGGTATTTTGAATCAGATGGGCTCTTTCACTATATTTTGGAATTAGCATAATTGAATAAAGCAATTAATTCTAGAATTTTCTGCTATCTCACTTTCGAAAAATTTGAAGTCGTTCTTAAGAAAATAAATAAAAACAAAAAGCCCAGAATAAAAATCCGCACTTTATTTTTAATACGTCACACCTGGCATGTTGAAAAGCGGCAACACGGCCGCGGCCGGGCGTTAGTTACTTTTTATAAAAAGGTCTCCTTTCTCAGAAAACAGGTAGTGTTATTCAAACTTGAGGTAGCATATATAGGGTGTTCAAAATCATCGGAAAAAGAAATAACCAGAAATAATTATAATAACCTAAATATTCAATTGCAAACACTTACCTACCATAGTTTAGAATTTACTGAACGTTTGATAAATATATACTATTATGGACAGTATAGGAAGTTACTTGTCTTAGTAAAAGCCGTGGTAAATGCTCTTGGAATTATAAACTACACTGATTTGGGTCAAAAAATATGGAATATTTTTTCTATGTTTTGCAGCATTGCACAAATGGGAATAAATTTAAACTATACTATAAATAAAAAATATAATATGTGTTTCAAGATTTTATATAGAAAAAAAAACTAAATACCTTTTTGGGGGTTCGTAAATAAAACTTACACTTAGCTTAGTTTTCTTTACTTTTTCTCTTTACATAGGGCATTGTCTTTGTGGTAAAGACGTCATTCCTTTTTTTTTGCATAGTTCTTCAATAAAATATTGGATATTCTGAACAAGATAGGTTTAATAATAAATTCTGACGTATGTGGGGGGCATTTGTGACCTAAATAAAGACTTACATCCAGGTCATTTATATTTTCAAATGTCAATGTTGTCAATATCTTTCTGTGATCTTTTTGATGTAAAAAGCTTGATTCTTCTTCCAATATTTTACTTATAGTGAGGTAAGTGTAAGCAGTAGCCATAACTACATCCTCACTAGGGTAACAGAGGCTTTGGCCTTTGGCCTTCTTGACGCATATTTAATGCACTTCTTACCCGAGAACTACTAGTAGGATTGAAATTATCTCTTTTAATAGCTGTCAACCATTTTTTACGAACCTCGTCATTTTTGGGGAATATAAAAGCAGAAACCTTGGGACCTCCTCTATAATTCCCGTGACAATTTGGAACAGATCATGTAAAGGGCATGCTACAATAAAATGTTAATATGTAACCATTATAAAGTACTATGCAGACTGGCGGCGAAGGCTTTTTACTCATTTAGGTGTAATATCTTGATAAATAATTAATAATAGAGGAGTACGACAAGCACGAAAGTTTGAAGTTTCCTATGCGGAATGTCTGGTTTGGATTTTTATTACACTGTTATCACAATTTTCTGATCACACCATGCACTGAACTCTAAGAATTAAACAAACATGTTCCAGAAGCACAACAAACTAGAGATAATTAATTATTTCTGGTATGCAATCGGAACGAGAAACCACTACCGGCTTTTCAGGTTAAAGGTAAACAATTTAATAATGCGCTGCCTTCGCCGCCATATTTGCCTTGCCCATATCATGTTGATTAGCCTTGAGTTGAGGTGGTGCTGGTCAAATCAAATCGCAATGTTGCCAGTTGTTGGCTGGCGCACGAGACGTTGGCTTGTTCTGCAATGTGATTGGGCGTATTTTTCATACGTCATCAATTGGCACCTTAAAATTATTTCAAATTAAAGCAATTTTGAGGGCCTATAAAAAAATTATTCAATGTCATGGAACTATTTTTTTTTGGATAAATATACTGAAAATAGTCTTCTATTTCAGATTTTGGCATTGAATTGGGTATTTTATTTTTTGTGAAAGAGCCCATTGTCGTTATGAACCGCATGTTACAATTGATAAATAAACCATATGCAAAAATGTCAAAAGTTGACATATGATACCATTCTATTCATAGTATTATTTTCTATCGAATAAAGTAAAAAACACCGAGGGTGGCATTTAAACATCAAAAATTGTAGTCATTTCCTGTGTAACAGGAAGTGACCGAAAACAATTGAATACGTCAATCAATCCTAATTTATGTCAAATACGAACATACCAAATCTCATTTTTTTATCTGACAAAATAAAAAAAGTTATAGGGGTATATTTTCTAACAATCTTTAAGCAATAACATTTATTGACTCAACATAGAAATAAAACCGGCAAGTTATTAAAAATATTAGAACATACATACATACTGCCATTACTCGCTGACGAGTATTTGACACGCATCAGAAGATGGTCACCCAAGGCGTTTTATTTCACGAGCTTTTCTGTGACTGAAAAGCCCGATACTTGATGATTACCTCAGGGACCGGCAATGCTGGTACGGGTACGGCGAACCCGAGGTGCCCTAGCTAGGCTCTCTCCCACTCCCAGGGGGATCCTTTCCAAGCTTCCTTAATTTCCCATCTTTATCCAACCCTTTACTCTGAGCAAAGGGTATCCCTGACCTACCCTTTTCCTCAAAGGTCGTTTCATGCTGTGGCTGCGCTGGTACTAACTGGTACTGAGTACTAAGTACCGCCTTCCACGGAAAAAGTTGATGTGAGCTTGCTCTGCCGAGGCGTAAGCTGCAGTATGGAACAGTGAGCAGCCGCTTCGGACCCTGACCAGGAAGTACGCACTGAATGTGAGGATCGGACCTCACATCGCTCCGGGCGAGTCCCCGTCCGTCTGGATTCCGGGAGGGGGAAAACTAAGACTGGGCTTCAGGGAACTGGGGTAGGAACTTACTCCGAGGGTATACCCGTTCCCAGTAATTTCGGCCCGCCCCTTTGCGTACGATGCGCTGTTAACTTCAAAGCATGGATAATATTGATAATGGAAACATGGTAAAGAGTCAATCGCCGAGTGTAAAATCGGGCGTTAGTGGTTTGTCAGAAGGGCATGGTAACCTACCATCGACACAGTTGGAGACTGAACTTGAAATCGCGACCAACGTGGACCCCTTTGTAAGAAGAGACTCAATAAGTAGAACTCCACCTAGATCTCGAACAAACTCTCTGCCGGATTATCGAAGCATAGTGGTGCCTGGCAATGTACAGAGCGAACAAGAACAGCCTAGTAAACGTAAACGTATGGATGAAGCTTCTGAATTTGCTAGAATAACGGGAACTAAAGCATTCGATGGGAGGGAAACGATTGAGAGAATATATAAGCAGATTAAGGCACTAGACAAAGTGATCCGAGACTCATACAACCCAAAAAGGGAAGTAAAAGAGGCAGTAACTAAGCTTGCTTTTCAAGCTGAAATACTCCATTCAAAGAAATTTGAGGAATGGCTGTCGTCTGGTCATACTGGCAACATGGAGGAGAGGCTAAAGAAATCTCAGGAGGAAAATAAAGCGCCGGGAGCAAATAAAGCTCACGCAAGAAACCAGAGAACAGGGTAGTATAAACGATACGACCCAATGTGTAGCATGCAGAGAAGCCTGTAAAAAAGTCGAGACGAGAAGGTTACTTCGTCGAAACGAGACCTATGAAGCCTTCCAGGAGGTACATGAAGAAATCTGGACTGATGATATTTTCCCCAAGGTACCAACTCAACAGGAGAATATATGGGAAGCACCAGCTGAATTTGATTTGATCCTACCTTGTTATAAAGATATCGTGGGCGTTGACAACCATATTAGAGCCGCAGTAAATAAATTCGGCGGGGTAGAGGTTCTCAAAAAACAGTGTAGAAGTACTGGGGATATTGCCACCATGAGACATGCGCTGGAGTTTCGTGATGGCAAGGGAAATTGCACGTCCATAAAGAGGACAATATACTATCCTATAATAAGTGAGAATGGGTCAGATCAAGCCTCTTCAGATGAAGGGATATTCAATTCACTGAAACAAGTCAAGGAGAGTGCATTGAAATCCGGGAGAGTAAAGATGGCAATTCCTCTTCTGGAGGGGGTAACTGGTACCATACTTCACAGGATGGCCGGCTTTATTTTCGCAGACTCTGGACTGGAAATTGTAAGTTATGCCTCTACTTTTAAAAGAGATACCAGGACGCGGAAACAGGACCTGACCCAGATAAATGTAAACCCCACTACGCCTAGAAGACCAAAAGAGGACGCTTTGTTACTTAAAATGGAAGGCTGTAGCTATGCGGACCTGCTCAAGACAGTCAAGCAGACGATAAATCCACGAGAAATTGGAGTGGAAATTAAAGACATTCAGCGAACTAAGAAGGGAGATCTCATGATTAAGGTTAGCAACGGGTCTGATAAGGCTGATATCCTCAAGACCGAGATAAAGGGTAGACTACCCGGAATAACAGCTTCAACGCTTAGCTCTAAGAAAATACTCCATATCAAAGGTATGGATGAGCTGACAACGGCGGAGGAGATCAGGGAGGATATAGTGAAGGCAACAGGCTGCACTCTGGATAAAGTAGAAGTGAGAGCTCTACGTCCAACGTTCAGGAACAAACAGAACGCCACCATCATTGCTAACGACCTAGAAGCAAATAGGCTGATTGAGATGAAAGTCCTGAAAATCGGATGGGTAGACTGCCGTATCGTCGAACGCCAGAGAGATGAAAGGTGCTACAAGTGCTGGGAGCCGGGACACGTCAGGACGGAATGTAAAGGCCCCGATCGAGAACACCTATGCATGAGATGTGGAGAAGAAGGCCACAAAGCGGGATCCTGCAGTAACCCATCTTTCTGTCTGCAGTGTAAGCAACAGGGCCATCAAACTGGTAGCCGGGCTTGTAAGGGCACTATACAAAGTCAACAATAATGAAATTACTGCAGATCAACACCAACAGAAGCCCTAGAGCACATGATATTAAGAACAATCTAAATCTTGACACCAGCCATACCGTCTTTAATCAGAAATGTCCAATATACTGCAGATTGGTGGAGTTGGAGAAGTCGAAAGTTTTGTATGAAGAAGAATAGACTAAATGATTGTAAATAGCATAAACAATAATTTAAATATCGGTCATGTTAATGCCCGTTCCATTATACATAAGATGAATAGTGTTAAGTACTGTATTATATTAAATAAGTTTGATGTATTTGCCGTTACGGAAACGTGGCTTTCCAGTGCTATTGACAATGAAGTTCTTGGGATTGACGGGTATACTATAGTAAGATGCGACCGCCAGCAGGGTAGGGGCGGGGGAGTTCTCATTTACATCAGCAACGCTATAAGGTATTCTATGTTGGATAACATTGATAGTAACTTTTCTGAACAGTTGTGGATAGAATTTAAAATTAATAACATAAAAAATATTTTAGGAGTTCTTTACAGGCCTCCAAACTATACTAACTTTAATGCCTTTATTGATGAATTTGAACTAAATATCTCAAGAAATTTATTATTATGTGATAATCTTATGTGCTTGGGCGACTTTAACATAGATATGCTGAGATTGGATTGTTTATATACACAACGCTTTCTTGCTGTATTACAAGTATATAATATCACTCAAATTCTCGATGAGCCAACACGGCGTTACAATAACTGCGCCTCTCTTTTGGATCTTATTCTTTGCTCTGATGATCGGCTGCTCTTGGACAGTAGTGTCGATCCCTCCTGTCAAATAGCTGACCACTTTCTTATTAAATGTCGTATGCGGTTGCGAATACTAAAACCACCGCCTCTCATAGTCACTTATCGGGATTTTAGACTTTTTGATCGTGGCCGTTTTACTAAGAAATTTAATCAAAAATAATTAATGAATGAAATTAAAACTCAGAGATGATAAAGTTAAAAATACAAAATATTCTTCTTATTAGTCTAATCTAAATTATCTAAAATTAGCATACAATTCAAATATCTCTTAGAATTATCGTTGCCAGAAAATTAATATAATAAAAAAAGTATTAACTGAACAATTAAATTTAAATTAGAATTTAATAAAAACAACAATTGCAAAATCATCACTTACGCGATGACATCTAAATTTTACTGGTACTAGAGAGTCTTCAATCATTAATAGGTAAAGAAAATCTAAAACAACAATTGAAAATTTTTATACCTGAAAGGATTAGAATTTCCTAACTTAAGAATTCGATATCATTTGAGAAAATCTTTAGATAGAGAACTTACTAAAATAATTAAAGAGACCACTGGATAATATAAGATCTACACGGAGTAAATTCGACCGTCTAATTTAAAAGTCAGTACCGAACTGATCCAAAAAAGTATTTTCCTAACCCTCGAAATCTTTAAAATGGGCGGGTAAAAAGAATAGGGAATTCTCTATCAATTTATAGGATTGAATATGCATTGTATATTATATGTTTTTTTTTTTGTAAATGTATAGGTTAAGATAGGAAGCAATGCTTCAACTTCGCCTTTTGTAATACTTATGGATTACAATAAAGACTATTTATTATTATTATTATTATTATTATGATATCTGTCTACCGCACTCCGGACATTCAAAGATCTTAGAACGCCATTGATAGACCGGAATATAATTCAGCCACATTGAAGTTCTTTCACGGTCGCCCTAATTTTGTTGATATTCTCCTTCCTTGGTCTTTTTATTCAATATGTCGAACTATAGAATTCTGACAGTTGTTAGCTATTGTTATTTCCTATATTTTTTTGGACGATTATTTGTTGGAATATTCTTGGCTGAGTGTCGAAATATTCCCTTCTGTATTTCGACAAACTTTACATGCTCTTAGCATTCGATTTTTGTCTCTTTTACTACTCTTTCTTGCTATATTAATAACTGTTGTACGTATGAATGTTTGACAATTGTATGGAAATATACATAGACTAAATTTTGACAGGTTGAGAAAACTATTCCTGAGGATTACGACATGAAGCAGACGAACGACGAATTCGATTCAACAATCAACTCGGAAATATCGGAACTTACTTCTGATGTATACGATGCCTGGATAGGCACAGACACTAAATGGCGCAGATCTCCCGAAGGTAAGGTAATTTATGTATGAATAATCATATATTACTCTCTATAAAGAAAATAGAGAGTAATATATGAATGAATAAGAAAAACTGAATTCTATTTTTCGTCGGCTTGGAGGTGAATTATATCGATAAATATATATATTGTTCTTTTTCATGATTTGTATTTCAGGTGGCGAGGATAACTCAATGGTTAGCCAAACGTTCGATTACAGCAACAACAGCGCTATCTACGATGACAGTACATCGGTAACTTCGTCGAACGTGCACATGGAGCTGTTAACGTCGAAAAAGACACCCAGTTCCAGCAACATCAGTGTTCAAAGCGAGAGCGAAGACACTCAAACTTCGAGTTCAGTGAAGAAGGAGAAGAAACACAAAGAAAAGGTAAACAATAGCCAAAATGTTAATTAGAATGGACTCTAAATAATATCCTTGTCTCTTTAATGCATTACAAAAAAAGCAGAACTGTTTTTTTGTGTTAAACAACAATATAAAAATATAGAGCGCAGCGCTCTATACGGCAGAAATCAGAAATTTTTGAAATCGGAATGTTTCGGGTACTAAACATTAAGAGAAAAAGAGCGAACTGGGCGTTGCTTTTTGTTTTGACAATTTCAAATGTTACTAATATTGCCGCAATAGTTTTTTATGGTGCTAGTGTGTTATATTACATATAAGTCACGCTGGGAAATGTTTAAATGTTAAGAAAAAACTGTCAAGAAATATGTTATAACACGCGAGTGCCATACAAAATTTTATCCAACAGCAGAACTGTTTCATGTCCAATCTCTAAAGAATAATCAATTTAAAAGGATCTACCAGTTCTACTTTCATTGTTGCGAATTAATAAATTATCAGAGTGCGTTTATATTACTTGCATAAATTATTATTATTTTTATTATTTGCATTTTTATTTTTTTTTTATTTTTTTGTAAATAATAAATAGCACTGGCATTAATGGTGGGTTCATACAGCCAAATAAAATAAAATAAGAATAAAATAAAATAAGAAATAAGGAATTCTTATTTGTGTGCGTTCATACAGTCAAATAAAATAAAATAAGAAATATATATTTGCTCATGCGCAGTACGATGAGGCTGGATAAAAGTTAACTTTTACGATTGTTTACAGTAATTTTACTATTTATAGTATATTTATTTATTCGTTGCCTACTATATTATACATTTTACTTATGTGAAATTATAAAATAAATTAAATCCAAACTGAAAATATTTGTAGGTTAGAATTAAGCGTGCGCAAAGCCGTTTTCACATAAAATAAAACAAGAAGTTAAAAGATAAAGACTTCTTATTTTATTTGTTATTTTATTTGGCTGTATGAACGCATGTACGGTATCCCATATAACCAAGTTTCTTATTTTATTTTATTTTATTCTTATTTTATTTTATTTGGCTGTATGAACCCACCATAAGACGTCATTTAGATAAATCGCGATTTTTTAACGATAAAATAGTGAATTATCAACCAGCAAGTAAGATTTTAAAGAAAAATGATTCAGGAAGATCTTCCGCAAGAAATTATTAACCAGGCAGAGGCGGCTACATCACAAATACTGCCAGAAAAGTCTCGTGGCGTATATAATAGGGAATTCAAGGCGTTTGAAGATTCGATGAAAGAAAAACATGTCAAATGTATAAACGAAACTAGCTTGCTTGCTTACTTCTTTGAACTACAGAAGAAATTTGTTCCATCATCGTTATGGACTAAATATTAAATTATTATTATTTTTAGTATTAATTGCATTTAATGTTAATGTTAATTTAAATAAATAATTGAATTAGTAATTTATGAATGAAGCTTAATAATTTCTATAAAATGGTGTGGCTTTTATAACTTGAAAAACTCACGCGTGTTATTATTTATTTTATATGCATGTATACAGATAAGTAATGTTTGTATAAGTAGTGGCTGTTGGATAAAAATATTAACGCGTAAAGAAGGGCATTGTTGGGTGCAATAACATTCAATAACTCAACTTTCCCGAATATTCAACTCTCCCGAATCAACATTTTATAGCTTCACAGCTTCTCAAACCGATTTGGTCAAAAGCAAAAATGGATTCAAGCAATTCAACGAAACAAGTGAGTAAACAAAGTGCCTATTACACAATCAAAAAATTAAATAGAAAAAAAAAATTTAATGAACTAGTGCTTAAATTTTTTATGAATATCTTCTAACATTATAATTATACAGGGTGCTACAAATTCGAGGTACGAGCATTGGTATCTCGCTAACCGTAATAGATACAAACATGGTTAAATTGAGGCAAAGTTGCGCTTTAGGATGTGCACCAAGATTTCAAAATTTTTTTAAGCATCAAAGTTTTTTTAAGAACTTCAAGGATTGCTGAGATTTTTGGAAAAAAACGGATTTTTTTTAAAATTATTTTTATTTTTTCCTGACGTTACTTTTTAGGATATCAAAAAACTAACTGCACATTCTCATTGTCACTTTATTAGGGCTATCTGATAGTGTTTTTAGATTTTCAAATTAGCTGATAATTTGTGAGATACAGTGGCCAACTTAATTTTTTTAAATACGGACTTGCATTTTTTATTTCAGATTTTGAAAGCACTCGGTCTCCTGAGTATAACGATATGCCACACTTAATATTTTTTTTTGTTTCGGACATTTGAACATAATTTATTTAAAATAATATCAAGTCCGACCCTGTTTTTTTTAAGATTTAATCTACTCATCGTTACAATATTGATAAGCTTTCAAACTTAACAATGACGTGGGGTAAAACATTGAATACGGAAAATCAAATGCAATAACTAAAGGGGCATTACTTGGCGTCATTTGTAATAGTGAAATCAATACAGTTCAACATTTACAATAAAGAGTACAAAATCCATTCGGAACTATAACAAGAAGTTATGTTCAAAGAGCTATAAATAAGATTGAACAAAAAATAAATTTGTGCATTAGGAAGGGTGGTAACCCTTTCGAACATGTGGAGCATTAGAAACTAGTTTATAGAAGTTGATTTATTTATAAGAACTACGATTAATATTATGAATATTATTAGATCGTACACTGAGATTCCAAATTCACAATAAAAAAAGTTAAAAATAAGATCTTTAAATTGCTGACCTGGATATTATTTACTTCAATCTTTGAATTGGCTCGATTTTCCTTATTCAATGTTAATTAGGGCTGATCAATATTGTTGCGATGAATTAAAAGATCAAATTTAAAGATTAAATAATTTAAAACACCAGAGTTGTACTTGAAATTATTTTAAATAATAATTAACTAGTTTTTTTGTTGTTAAGGTACCCAAATCAAAAAAAAAGTATCAACTGTGGCATATCATTATACTCAGGAGGCCGAGTTCTTTTAAAACCTGAAATAAAAAATGCAGGTCCGTATTTAAAAAAATTAAGTTGGCCTCTGTATCTCACAAATTATCAGCTAATTTGAAAATCTAAAAGTACTGACAGATAGCCCTAATAAAGTGGCTATCAGAATGTGTAATTAGTTTTTTGATTTTCCAAAAAGTAACGACAGGAAAAAATAAAATTTTCCAAAAAATCCGTTTTTTTCCAAAAAACTCAGCAATCCTTGAAATTTTTAAAACTTTTTTGATGGCATCTTGGTCAACCTACCAAAACGGCAACTTTGCTCCAATTTAACCATGTTCCTTACGGTTACCGAGATACCAATGCTCGTACCTCGAATTCGTAGCACCCTGTATATGTACCTTTAAAAAAATTCGTTATAGCCGAAATAGCTCAAATTATGTCCCCACTAGCAAAATCGGTGCGTAAAACTATGCTCCCTACCGTATAGTTTTACTCATCTAAAAAGTTGTGTTAATATTCAATAATAATAAATCCTTCAATAATAAATTATACAAGTTAGACCTGCTGAATATATCAAAATATTTACTTTATTTTTTTTAGAATTATCACAAATTAATTACTCTTCCTAACAATTTTAGAATAATCATTATATAAACTTTTTTCATATACACGCTATTTAAACCCGTGTATATGTGATTGTTTACGATATTCTCCAACGGTGGCAGCACCGGCGGAGAATGCACCAAGCCTATAATACTTACCAACTTGAGAAAAACATGGAAAAACAGGTAATATGTTTACTTTTTTACTTTGACAAAAAGCAAACATACATAGAATACAAGTCATGCAACGGAAAATGGAAAGGTCCATGTTGAGACTTAGGGATAAAATACCCAATCATACCATACGAAATCGAACAGGAGTAAGGGATGCGGTGATATCTGTCTTACATTTTAAATGGAATTTGGCAGGACATGTGGCTAGGCTAACAGATGGGCGGTGGACAAAGGGACTTGTGGAATGGAGACTAAAACACGAGGCCTATAGAAGCAGAGGACGACCTCCTAGTCGATGGACAGATGATATTAAGAGAGTGATTGAAAACTGGATTCAAGTGGCGCAAAATAGAAAGAAATGGCTAGAGATGAGGGAGGCTTTTGTTCAGCAGTGGGCGGAAAGTTAAAAAGCTAATGATGATGATGATTTGTTTGTACCGATTGTTTACGATATTCTCCGATGGTGGCAGCACCGGCGCAGAATGTACCAAGCCTATAGTGTAATAAAATATATTTTTTAGCCGTTTTGTAGAGGACAAGACTGATAATGGCAAGGACAGATTAATCTTAGTAGTAAAAAGGAGAAGTTAACTTAAAATACTTTACTCTTACACTACTAAGATGTTTTTTTAATAATCCGAATTAGTAAATACATAATTTTTGAATTGATAAAATGTTCTGACATTACTTTTTTTTTGTTGCAGACTGAGAAAAAGGAAAAACACAAGAAGAAAAAATCGAAAGACAAAGACAAGGATAAAGAAAAATCAGAAAAGAAACACAGGCGAAAATCCAGAGGAGATCCCTCCCATAGAGACGAATTGGAAGAATTTCTCAATGGGAGTAACAGTCCTCCTATTGACACTGCCTACGAAGCGATATAGCGGACTGTAAAGAATCTCAGGTGGAATTTAACGCTTTTAGAAATATTTTGTCCCCATTAAATTGGGCTACATTAACTTTGCTTCTTAATATTTATTTTTTTAGAATTTAAATAGATCTTATATTATTTTTTTATAATTTATTTGTAATATTTAATTTTTTATGCGGGCTCTTGAAACATTCTTCTTTAATGCATTTAAAAGCTTTTCAGATATTATATTTCATAATTGAAGGGTACATGGGAAAACATCATTGTTGCATAAAAGTTGATTCTGAGAAAAATGCAAATCAAAAAAATCGAAAGTATAGGTAATTCTTATCGGTGATATTAACCAAACCTTGATTCGTAGTGGGACTTTTATATATAGATAGATTAGCCAACGACCAAATAACACAAAATTGCTTCTCACCGACGTTTCTGAGGCTATTTACTCCACTTCAAGCCTCTGTCAGAAGAGCAAAAAGGTGGATTGTTAGTAATAACAGCCAAAATAAAAATTATTACAATAGATCGATCCGTTCTGTAGCTACGGGGTATCCATAAGTGTGCGAACACAGTGCAAGCAGGATTGCCGCTTACCGGTAGTCGGCGAGGATCTGGGTACCTATTCTTGACATCGTTCGCAACTTTGCGTATAACAGGGTGTCCCAGAAATAAGTGCAAGTATTTTAAGGGGTGGTAGATCTCGATAAAAGAAACATATTTTCTCTTTATCGTTTTTCAAATAAGTCCAAAATAACGGAGTTATTTTACTTTGCAAATTTCAAAAAAAAGTATTTTTTGCTAAAATTTTGAGTACCACTGGATCTTTTCTGAATTTTCTTTCTTGTAAATTTAATCTACTACCTATGTTGCCATATTAACAAGAAAGTATTTTTTTTAAATAAAAACTAAAAAAAATTCCAAAAAATTCCGATTTAAAAAAAAATTCGCGAAAAAAACCTCATAGGCGTGTTTCTGGGGTTGAACTATACTAGCAGTTAAGTTAAAATACTTGCACTTATTTCTGGGACACCCTGTAAATGAGTACATAGTAGCGCCACGCCGCCTCGCGCTTATAACCTTGAAAAATTAAAGCGTGTTATCAAATCGGCTAGTTCACAGTGAAAGCAGGTAGGCGCCGTCAACCAGCGTTCATCGGCGTTCTCGCTTTTACCGGAACGAACATTTATTTATTTCTGCTTTTGCACGCGCCGACGGCGCACAGAGGGTATTGAGAACTAAAAGTTGGCCAAAATTATGTTTTATGATTTTTTTTGCTTTTTTGCTAGTAATATTAATTATTAGAGGAGAGGGTGCTAATATGAAACCCTATTTTGTTTTTCCTACACAATATTTTTCCTCTACTCTGAAACCCTTTCCACCGATCAAATAGGGCCATTCTGTGCAAAATCAAGCAATTGGATGAGGATGCTAGAACAAGAAAGTACTTTGTATATTATAGACGATATTTGAGCGAGGATGGGTGTTATAGGGTAAAGACTATTTCCTTTAAGAATCTATTTAAATCAATGTTTTTTTGGCAGTGACAAATATTGGCAAGATTTTTGTACATATTCCAAAGCTGGAGACTTTAAGCATTGAACGGATACTAATTTCCATGCGGAATATTGCCGAATAGTCTTACACCTTATAAAAATGCCTCTGATTTTTTAAATATAAAACATTATAAAGAAATAGAATAGAAGGAAACGTTTCAAAATAAAAATATGCATAAAACAGGACTTGCCAGCTAGCTCTGTATCCATCATGACAGTTATTATAAACAATTTGCAAAATAAGCACTACAAACAATTCCACAATTTTATAATCTTAGAAATATTCAGAATACACTCAAGATAATTCATACTTACAACTGAAATATATTATTTATTTGATAGTCAACTTACGACTTAAAAAAAGCTAATAAACGTGCTTACATTTAGTATTTATAGATTTGTTTTCAGTTAAGATAAAAAATGAAAATAAAAAAATATCACTTTTGTCCAGGTTTATAGACCAAATACCCCTATGTGTAGCGCCGGCGCGGCGTTTGAATATGGTTAGGTTAGTTAATCAGGTAAATTTCCTCTTAATTAACTACTTCCGAACCCTGCTCTCATCTCCGAAAAAGCCATATAACAATACACGTGATGCATATACGCAAAGTTACGCATCACGTGTATTGTTATATGGCTTTTTCGGAGATGCGAGATGTGAGCGATATTTGAAGATGCGAGTGGTCAAGAATAGGTACCCTGAGACGGCGCTGGTTGCCGGTAAGCAGAAACCTGCCTTCACTATGTTCGTACCCTAAGGGAGGAAACTAAATTTTTTCTTAGAGGAAAATTTATAGGCCTGCCATAAATATTTTTGATAACGTTACTTATACAAAAATATCAAAAATACCAAGTTAGTTTTATTTTTTCAACGTTTTTCCACGTAAATGAGACATAATCTTTATAAAAATGAAAAAATTAAGAAGAAAAACAATAAAAAAATAAATAAAATCCACTATTTTACCGATTACGACTACAATGTTCTCCAAGCACTCCAATATTGTGTCTATTTCCTTTCTTAGAATCTTACAGATCCAGTACCTATTTTTAGGTATTACTAGAGACTAAGATGGTAGTAAATAGAGACTGAAATGTAGCTAAGAAATTTATATTTGAGTTTCTTTGGTCCTTGACTACTTTAGCTACAAGTTAAAAGCCTAGAAATATAAAAAATAAGCCTAAACAAGGGCAAGCTATCCTTCTTCTGAAGCCTCTGCGTCGATGGGCGGGTGGTTGATGAAGTTATCACCTCTATCATCAGGAAGGTTATCAGGGGTTAGATTTTGGTAAAACATATTTGCCTCTGAGTTATATAAGTGCAAGCTATTCTTGTTCTTCTGAAGCGTCAATGGGCGGGTCGTCATTACAGTTATCACCATCAGGAATGTCATCAGAGGTTAGATTTTGGTAAAACTTCTTTGCCCTTGAGTTTTCCAGGAATTTGGTAAGATGAAGTATGTCTCTGTATCTTGTAGCGTTTAAAGGCAGTTTTTTTTCTTGGACCTTTTTGGTGGTTGTTTTGCAACTGGAAAAGAATAGTAGGTTTCAAAGTATGATTGTTTGTGGTAAATTATTCGCTTATTTTCAACGGAAATTTTACGAACTACAATGCAATGACGGTTTTTTTGTGTGCCAAATAAATAAGGAAGAATTTTATAAAGAAGAAACCTCTAATCGCATGCAAGGGGCGGTCTCAGTGTCATCCTATCCTTGATGACGAGGTGGGTTGATCTTTAGATGCGGACACCCTGTCATAAATATTTTTTTTTTCATTTAACACGAATAATAGTTATATAATTCTAACTTAACATTATTTTATTGTTTATTATGCACTCATTTTCTGGTATACGCTGACAGTAGCTATGAGAAGTCAACTTGTGATCTTTAATTATTCATATTATAATTAGTTACAATTTAGGTTTATTTATATTAAAAATGTTTTGTATTTTATCCCAGTCATATATTATATTATTAAGTTTTTTATTTTTCTATTTCTTTCAATTTCCTTGATCTTCATTAGAATTAACAAGAGTAAAATTCTAAAGAATACTATGATTAAAATTTACTTTTTTCAGAATATGAAAATGCCAAAAAAAACATTAGCAAGAGCTATAAAATCTGCAGCTAAGAAATATTTCATTATAAAGATATATCTTAATCCTGTTAAGATATATAGAATATTTGTCTTTATACAGTGGTGCTAAAAATTTAGACAAACACCAAAAAAAAAAAAAATTTATTTTAACGTCTCCTAAAGTTTGATTATTTGGAAAATTTTCATCAAACTGCAAAATAATAGTCAAAATCTTGATGAGTCGATTACTTAGGGGACTTTAAAGACTTGAGTAACCTAACTTTTTCCTTATGTTTCTATTTTTTTGGCCACGCTTTATATATTATTTAAAGACAGGACTATGTGTATAACAAATAAAGCTTTTATAAATGTATCTCGACAGTGGCATACTAAACAATTAGCCACGACAGCGTATTAAAAGTAAATTAATGTTAATTTAGAAACCTTTATAATTAATATTATTAAACAAATTATATATTGAAAATTTTCTAGATTCTAGGTATGTCATTTTATCTATTTGACTATTGTGAAACTATAACTGTACTGTATTCTATTAAGATCTTTTCGTTAATAGACTGTGAACTAATTTAGGGTATTGTTATGATAAATTAATGTTTATTGTTATTGGAAATTTGTTTATATCTATAATAAATAATATTTTATCATTAGTTTTAATTCATTTTAACCAGGTATTCTAGGGCTGGAGCAGACTTTGTGTTGGCAGGCGCCATTTTTTGGGAGGAAACGGATGTGTGTCCAACGATAATTTTAGCGAGTTTTAATAGTTTGTTTGGTTTGGCTTGGTTGTAGTTCCATTGTATAAACTATATTTCAATGGTGAATTGTTCAGCTTTCAAGTGCAAAAGCCGCAACGATAAGAAAGAGCCAGGAGTTACGTTTCATAGGTTATTTATTATTTATTTATTAGTGTCAAAAGCGTTGCGTATATAAAAATATACATATACAAAAATACAAATAAAAAATGCGAATTGTATAAAGACAAACGGAAGAAAATGCAAAGATAAAATTGAATACAGCTACAAACATAAAATTGCAAAAAAATTAAAAGACATGAACATTGTACAAACACTAAATAGTATCAGACAAAAACTTAGCAATGTCGACGGCATTTCCTGTGGCCTGCAACAAGTCGTCAAAGAAACAAAATACAAGATGCTAAAAATTAAGGCCTAAAAACCCCTACATATATGCTTATTCTCTGCATTAAGTTCATCAGACTAAAGGGAACAGCCGGAACAACCATTCGACGACCGGTTTCGGAGATTTATCTCCATCGTCAGGCCGACTTTGATGTAACCCTCAATCTGACAAACGAAAAGCAGAGAATAGCATTTGAGTACAAAACGTATTACTATGGCGAGTGCTAGCCGCTCTCGCCATCCCTAGGCCTTAATTTAGGTCTTAATTTTTCTCCTTAATTTTTTAGGCCTTAATTTTTCGCTTCTTGT